TTCGATGAAAGCAAAAAGAAGAGAAAGATAAGTTGTACAATAAGAGGGCAGTCGAATAAAAAACAAGGCTCTCTTCGCTTGACGATTAGACGAGGCGAGGGATCAGGTGGTAGTGGCTATAAGCTTGTCAACACCGGGGGAATGAAGGTGCAGATCCTCTCGTCTCTCAAAGTCCCAGTTAAACGTTTTGGCTGTCCTATATGCCCCAATTCTGTGTTTTCCCGTAAAGCGGGACTGCTAGTCCACATGGCAGTTAAACACCCACAAAGAGCCTATACCACTCAAGAGCGACTAAGGTGCCGTGTATGTGGGAAGCAGTCTCCCAGGCCTTTGGCAGCCTTCATTCATCGGGCCGTCCATCGTGCCAAAGGGACTTTTTCTTGCCGACGCTGCTCCACTCGCTTCTGGAATGCTACACTGCTCTACAGGCACAAGGTGTCCTGCCGCCGCAGGGCAAAAGGACTGCAACGAGGAGACGCCAGCAGGCTGAAGTTATCAAAAAGAGCAGGAGAGAAGGAAACCCGAGAGGGTCAGGAGGAGATGCCATTCATACAGGGACCATACAGATACTGAGCATCCTGGTATCTGAAAAGAGGCAAACCAGAGAGAGATTTCAGTTCTTAAATGGGAAGGGGGAAAAAAAGGGACTTGAAAAGGTAAAAGCTGCCTTTTTAGGAGTTATCCTCATGTCTCTGTTGACATCTATTCTGCTTAATATTAGAATGCGTGTGTTAACAACTACTGTAGAGCATCCTATAAAATATCACCAGAAATTCTTCCAGGTTATATTGGAAGAGGTTTTCAAAGATGTGACTGTTTCCATAGATTCATTAACCCCTTAAGTGCATTGACACTGTGCTTGGCTGACACTGTGCAGTAACTAGACAAGTTTAGGTGAAATGACCTGCTAATGTATCTCTTTCCCATAACTAGACTCCCTGCTTCACCTCTTGCTGTATGATAAACGTCTCTGCTGTGTACTTTGTCTTGTTGTTGTTCACTTAGAAGATTTTTTTTAAATGTAAAGTGCATTTATTAGGAGTAGGGACATGAGGACAAAGACCTTTGTTGATAGTTTGTCAGTGCATGTTTGTTCTCTGGTCAAGTTTTTAGCTGAGGTTGTGAAATCACTCCTACAGTATGTGACGGTTTATTCAGTATATCCCAGGAGTTTGTAGTGTAAAACTTGATTTGAAGGTTACTCTATATTCCCTAGTGATTGAATCACATATAGGTAAATTGTCAAAGTTGCTGGTAATTAGCATTTCAAGGATCCCTCTCCTGCCAAAATGAAGAATCTTTCAAAAAGCCTTGCTTAGTATGTACACTTTACTTCATTTATTTGAGATATTCCTAGCTTTTATACCAAGAGATTGAAAACAGGTAAAACAAGTGGACTGTAACACATGTTTATCTCATGTTATTTGTATGCTCTTTTTAGCAGTGATTATTTCTACTGTACTTCACGGTGTGTTAAAGACAAGGACCTATTATATTAGAAACAAATGTAATATTCCATGTATTTATGTGTGTAACCCAATCAGTCTTCATGCAAACCTTATACTTAACCCCTTTTACTTTTTGCTGAGTTGCAATCATGTTATTACTGTCACAACTTGTTTTTTTTTTCTGCTAAAAATTTACATTTTAAGTCAATCATGTCACTTTATTCACATGAAATGTTCATACCCCTGTCAAGCCTTGCTTTTCTTTTTCTTCTTAAGAAAAAATATAGTTTTAGTAGATTTCTATCACATTATTTACTGATAAGTCAGTAGTTGATTATATTTCAGCAATGAATAAACCTTAAGTGTAATCATTTGTTTCCCTTTCATTTCTCATTCAAAGTTGACAACTGCAATATCCAGAAGATGGTACAAACAGCTAGTCATGAGTAAGTTTTAACTTTCACCAAAGTCAGTAATGTATATAATAATTTTTAGCTTGATGTCCTATGTGAATTTCATATCAATTTGTGGATTAAATGGTTATTTTTTTAGGATGTATCATAATCACCTTCATTGGCCAAGTATGTGTAAACATACAAAGAATTTGAATAGTTTGCATTGTTCTCAGTTTGCACAGAAATATATGTGACAGCTAGGATCAAGGACAACAAAAAAGAGAGATGTGCAAAGATATTTAAAAAAACACGAATGAACGTAATTAAAACAAAACAAAAAAATCTATAAGTGTTCTGAAAGTTGAAAACTATAAAAAATGGTTTGACATGGATGATCATACAGTATGTATGTCTATATATGCTGAATAGAACGTAAAGGATTTGTATTGACGGTGGCAGACAATATTGACATATAAACAAACCAATCGATTAAAAGACATAATCTATAATAGGATCAATGTATGTTTTGGTACACAGGGTTATTCAAGTATGACAGATGTAAGTGTTCATCAGAGTCTCTGAGTTTACTGTTCTGGAGTAAAGTGTTGTGTAGTGCTTACCAGAGGGGAGGCAGGTTGAATTAAGGCCTAATGTTACTGCCAGATTATTCTGGGGTAATGTCTTGCTTTCAATAATTAAAATGCTCAGTACATTATCACTATATTAAAAATAAAGGACTGTGTACAACACCTCACTCCACCAGATGGCAGTAAGCAACTCATTTATACTGTCCTCTTGGCCTGGTGTGGATGTGTGGCAGTCACATGGATTTTGCACTGATAGGGGGTGGACTGGATAGTGTTGTATGACTCTGTGAATTATCTGCCCGATTAATACCAAAAAGCAAATACAATGCTTGAGTATCACTTGGTAATCTCACCTTAATGTTAAGAATGTAATGTGATTTGAGGGTGAAATTAAATGCATGCATTTTTGCATTTGTATAAACTATTAAGTTCACAGCATTACATAATTTCATTGTTATTGTTCCCCTTTCTGTGATTCCAAATCAATTATGTCATTATTTGAAAATATCTGAAACGGTCAAATCTATTATACTTTACTGAGTGACACCAACCCCAATGTTGTGATTTAGATTACAGTTGGATCTTGAAGTAACCATTGCTATATATTATATGTCAAAATGACTTAGTTAAACGTGTGTTTGAATTCTGATTCAACATCAAATCAATGTGTTTAGCTTTGTAACATAAAATATGATTAATCCCCACTGCTTTAGGTCGGGTCCCATGTGGTTATGATCCAAGGGGCCCACTGACGGACAAAGCGTTTAGTTGGATAGTTTTACTGTAAAGAAAAACAGGATCACAGGACAGGGTGGACTAAAGGGGCCAAGGACATTAATGTACAACTAATAATCACATTTAGTGCACAGTATTCATAAGGACTATTTGCGTATTAAGCTGCAAGATTACTTGACTGTCAGTTATTTACACGTCCAGCTCTGGAAACAAAACAAAGAAGTGAACTCCTGTGGCGCGCGATGTTTTTGCATGTGCTCTGCAACAGTAGGCTACAGTAGACACCCCTCGCGCTTTTTGTGTTTCGAACTGGTCTCACGCGGCTGTGGCAGACGCTGAGGGGAATCCGAGCGGGCGGGTTTCTTCGACCTATTTCTGTCCAATGGGCGCGCATCGTGGGAGGAGCCGCGAGTCTGCAAAGCCAATTGTAGCCAGAGCCGCGAGCGGACAAGGCATCCTCTCCGCGTGGCTCGTACACGTGAGCTGGAACAGCTATTGTACGCCGCGAGGCAACGTGCAGGAGCGCTGCTCGCCTGAAAAAACGACAGTCACGTTTTCTGTGGATTAGAAAAGGAGACTGGAAAAGCCATGCTGCACTACCTGATTATCACAGGAAGACAAAACTGTGCTTTAATAAATATTAGCAACGGTTTGAGGCAGTAATCCTGAGAATAAATAAATTACTTTCATTTGAGATGTCAATGTCTACAGGTGTAATGACATTTTACTTGGTGTCATTCAAAGGATTTATTTGTGATATATACAATAGCTACAGTGTAGTCTTGGCCATGACATTCTTGAGTCTCAAGCTCTTTCAACAACGGAACATAAAAGTAAACCTAAAATAGTGCAACATTTTTCAAGTATTTTTCAGAAAACCGAAAAAATATGTACATATAAAATAGGATGCAATACAAAAATGTGAAATTAAATGCTATGGAGTAAACATAAATAGGCCTACTGTATACTGTAAACATATATACATATTTGGCTGTACAGATGTACAGTTTATTTTGGACATGCAGCAGGCCTATTTGGATGGTGAAACTTCAGTGGTGTAAAGTCACTAAGTACATTTACTCAAGTACTGTATTTAGGAACAATTTTGAGGTACTAGTACTTTACTTGAGTATTTCAATGTTGTGCTACTTTGTGGGCTACTCCTAACCCACTACAATTCAGAGGTTAATAGTGTACTTTAACTCCACTATATTTATTTTATACCTTTAGTTACTTTGCAGATTGGGATTAATGATAGGACATAATCAACATTTAATAAGACTTTAGTTACACCTGAAATAAATACACATGATTTAAAAATTGCTCCACCTTTACTTACACTCAAAACATATAATATATATTATAATAAAATGGGCCAATCTGCATAATGAGTACATTTACTTTTGGTACTTTACATTTATTTTGATGCTAATACTCGTGTACTTTTATTTGAGTAACCTTTTTGATTGCAGGACTTTTACTAGTATTCCTAAACTCAAGTAATTTTACTTTTACTCAGGTACACGATCTTAATACTTCTTCCACGTCTGTACTTCACAGCCCCCAGGGTCTTAACAGTCTTGTTGTTTGTGGGCTAAAACTGTCCCTGAGTCTGGTGGTTCAACTCATCAACAATCATTAAAAACGTGATGGCTGCAGCAGAAACACCCTGGTGAATTTGTTTGTTTCCGTCAGACACAACAAACAGCCTGCTGTCCTTGAGGAGTGGCACGAGGGTAGGTGTGTCTCATAAATAATAAGAAATAATTCAGAGATGTGTTAAAGCCTCGCCCCCCCCCCCCCCCTCCTCACCCCCCCTCGACTTGTGACGTCACGCGAACTGCCCGTGTCCGCTCCAGCTGAGAGAGCGCGAGGACTATCGGTGGTGTTGGTGGTGGACGTCGCGCGGCCCAAACACAGACCTAAGCCCGTGCGAAGATCCACCGGATCCACAAAAAAAGTACAGACGGAGAGAGGAAACGTCCCCCTCCTCCCCCCGACGGACAGCAGAGCGCGACAGCCGCGGAGAGGAACACCAATATACAACTTGTCATCTGACCAACAGTCACCGCTCTCGTCGCTGTGTGCGTTTTTTTGTTGTTGCACACACTGTTTCCACTCGGTTGTTTTGTTTTGACGGAGGTCTGCTTTATTGCAACTATTTAGCGATCTTCTTTTTGATTGTCGGACGGTTCATTCGGGATATAATTCTACAAGTTTTAATTGTAACATTTTCCCGTTTGTGCAGTGAGCGGGTTTCACAGTCATTTTGACGTCTTTGTATTTTCTATATGGACAGTATTCTAAATTAGATGGTCTGACTGTCGCTCCTACGCCGCTCATTTTAGAGTACAGCTTGATCGACTGGAGAACATTTAACCGCAATGGAATATTTCGATGAAAACATTTCTGCAAGGCAATAAGAAACTGCACAACATCAAGTAAAAGGTAACAAAACTTGCAAAGTATCATTAATCTGCATCAATAATTGTGTGCTAATACTTGTACCATTGCATTACAATGGTTGCTTTATTCTGCATGGACACTTCTTTAAACTCTCTTTCTTTCTGCCCCCCCTCCACCCCACACCTCCCTCATGCACACACACACACACACACACACATGCACACACACACACACACACACACACACACAGCCATACAGCATTCCTGTCCTATTGGTAGACTCTCTGGTCAGTTGGCCACGCCCCTTTGAGTGCCCCCTGTATTTTATACGACCCCATCTGGCCCAGGATGTCCAGGCAGCTCTCCCAGCTTCCGAACCCCGACGTCCCAGCTGGTGCAAGCGCACAGTTTGGAAGTTGTACCCAGCCTGCAGGCTCCCTCACAGGGGGGCATCTCACCTCTATGGCGGGTCTGAAATCCCTCCTGCAGCACCCCATAAAGGGAGACCAACGTTCCAAACCCCCATGTGATGTAAAAGGTGAGAAACTCTCATTTGATGCATTACTACAATGTGCAAGGAATATTTCATGTACAAATCTCTGTTCCACCCACTGATGCTGCTCTTATAAACCAAATATGTGACTTTCTTTTTTAAACAGCATATATCTTATGTCTGTTGCCCCCACCACACACACACATTGGCTCTCCCATGACTCTGCTGTGTATTCACCTGGATTATAATCCCAGCTGCGACTTCAAATTAGGAACCAGATTACCATGAGCGAAAACACGTTTCCGTTCAGCTGTAATACTGTGCCGTTTCAAAAACGTGCCTGCTTCAACTATTGTTAGATTTGTTTAGGAGCTTATGTGTACGTTATGACAACAAATTGGTTTGGGCTTTTGCTTAATGCTGCAATTCAGCTACCATCTGGTCCATCTGTGAGTGTGTATTTGTGTGGGAGATTTTGCAAAAGTGCATCTCATGGATACACCTGCCAACCCTATTTAGTTGTGCAGAGTTATTTAAAGTTATTCTTCATCATCTTTATGCTGTACTCATAAAGTGTCTGCTCTGTTATCTCTGTTAGACAAAGAGAGGCAGGACGATGATGAGGACTCAATGGGAGTGTGCCCCATGAGGAGTGGAATAGCCAACAATACTAGCAGTAATGGCTGTGGAGGTGGTGGTGGTGGAAATGGAGGGGGAAGTTTTAACCAATTCTTGGGGCCCCTCTTGTGGGATCGCACCCTGTCTGCAGATGGGGGCCTCTTCCAGCTTCAGTACATGGACTTGGAGGAGTTTCTGACCGAAAATGGAATGGGCAGCATGCATAACAACAACAGCTCCAGCTCAGCCCAGATCCCCTCGCAGAGCTCCCAGTCAGCTGTGCCCAATCAGAGCTCCCAGTGCCTACCGCCCTCATCCCCACCTGGCTCTTCATCTTCATCGCCGTCTTCCTCTTCTTCCCCATCGCTCATTGGTCTGGAGGTGGTTCAGCCACAAAACCTTGGTGGAGGAAATGACTGTTTGCATGGTGAGTTCACTTACATGGAGCATTTTGTTCCAGATAATAAAAAAATGATCAAGGACAGTTCATTCTCCAAGGTTTGTCCATATCAGCTGAAAACAAGCAATAATGCAGGAGAGGGTTGTGCAGACGTTGCAGAGTTGACATGCTGAAAGAGACAAATTGTCCTCTATAGGTGATATGAGACAAGTAGACCCTACAATTAATAATGCTTGATATGTAATCAAGGTTATATGACGTGCTAAAGTTCCCACAGGCTAGTGATTCAGCACTTTAACTCTCCTTACCGTTTCTAACAAATTGCATGGTGACCAAGCATTTTTCTGTCCTGTGGGGTCAAACTGAAGGCAGCAGCTACAGTCACATGGCTCAACACGCAAAGTCAACTTGAGAGGGAAAACACACGGCTTAAAAATGGCTGCTTAGCAAAATCTGAGTGTATTGGAGCAGTGTGCAGGCCCAGGGTTAACATTTGGGCGAGGAAGCAGGGAGATGTGGAGGGAAAAAAGATAAAGAACGGGAGAGGTTTGGAAAGGGATGAAATCTTGAGCTTTTTGATGAGTCAAACTCATTGCATTGACAAGGATGTTTAGTCTGGCATGTGATCTACAACACAATCAGCATTCAGTCCCAGCCCATCATAAATGTGCAGCAGGGTCAAAACTGTTCTGGGAGAGAGAGAGAGGGAGAGAGAAGTGTGCAGAGTGTTTGCGGTTGCGTGTCTTTAAATCTCTCCCCACTTCACACGCCAAAGCCATGTGTACGCGTCAGTACACGTGCCGAGGCTGAGGGTACTGGAGTGAAAGAACGAGGGGCGGGGCCATCAGAAATGTGGGAGGAGCCTAGAGGGGGCGGGACATGCAGAGCAACAGGAAGAGTTCCCTGCTGGACTTCACACAGGGACGTTTGATTCCACATGAATGACATTTAGTGCACTGAGATCCAGAGGAGGGTTGTATACTGTATGGGATGTTGGCTCAGGGCAATAGAGGGACAAAGTGCATCTTTATAGACTCTGATAGGGCATGTATTTTGCAGGATAATAAAGCCCCATTGGATTACAAACCCTCTAGATAAAATATTACAAGAATTAGAGATTCTGCTAGTGTGATCGTATCAATTGCTTTATTTAAAATTATTAAAATCATCACCTTGTTTTAAATAATTGATATATTAGTAAAAATTCTCTGATTCAAGCTCAAATGTGAATCTTTTCAGGTTTCTCCATTATCATATCAAACTGAATCTATTTGAGTTGTGGATAATGGAAGACATTTTAAAAACGTCATCTCGGGCTTTGAAAAACCATGATTGATATTTTTCACAGTTTTCTGACATTTATAAACAACATATAAACTGACAGAAAACTAATTAATAATCAAGAAAATAATAGAAAGATTGCAGGAAAATGTAAAATAATTCCCCTAATCCTAATAACAAAACATATTAAATTGGAAAGCAGCATAATTGTTTTAAGAGGAATATCTTTTAAATCTAAAACTAATATGTGGCTGAAATGCCTTTGACTAAATTGGGTGAAATTAGCTCTCCCAAAGCTTGAAACATGAGGAGCTTCTAATCTGCAGCATCATAAAGGTGACAAACTAACAGCTGCTTTATAAATATTAAGCAAAGCGACACCCAACAACCTATTTTTATATTAGTCACCTTAGGAGGAGCATGACTACTGTTTGCCTTATCAACAGCCTCAGGACTTCAGCTAAAGGAATGCTGATTTACAACTAGTGCAATGTGTCGAGTCATATATTGGACGGTTTCTTAAAGAGCAAAAGTCTCGTGCTTGCTCAAGGTAACACATGGACAAAAATGAGCCAAAACAACATGGTAATACTGCTCTCCAGAGCTTCCCAAAAAGCAGAGAGAGGCAGCCCTGCACCAGGTGTTTTCACTAACTAGCTCCTGCTGTTGGGTTTAAACAGAAAAAATCCATAAAATCTTCTGGTTTATTCAGACAGAGAAGGTAACATGCATATTTTCTGGCCTCTGATTCACTCGGTTGCCTACCCACACTGAAAGGCTCAGTGTTTGTTTAGACCCGCTGATTATTTATTATGGGGTATGCTTGACTTCATCCTGGTGCCTGTGAAAGCACTCTTTAATTTGTTTTGCTGTCATTGTGGAACATGCAGAGATCATGAGGGAACACCTGGTGTAAAACATGCTCTCATACTACCTGGCCATTAAACAGCCATTAGTCATGATAGCTGCTTGTATGTTACTGCTCCACATATAACCTGTCTAGCAGATGGCAACACATATCATAAATAGAGCGGATGGTTTTGTTTTTCTCCAGCCTACAGTCTGACTGTACAGTAAGTGTGAAGTTGTAGACCTTAACACTAGATTGTAAACGTTTTATATTGTCCTTTCTACATAATAATTATACATTAAGGACCATATTTGTGGAACTTGAGGCATACACATTTTATTTAGAGCTTTTTGATGTAATTTTGTGGTCATTTCTAAGGCTGCAGTGTGTGGTGTTAAGTAAATATCCTTACTCGGGTTATCTGTGTTTGATAATGTGGCTGTTCCTCTTCTGGAAATTAAATTATTTATTGGTTTTAACAGTTAAACTTGTCCCATCTTAGGTAAACACGTACCCCTGCGATTTATAGTAACAGTCAATGGGAGAGTTGTGCTGTATTGGGAAGCAGAGTCAGTGAGTGGTTAGCATTGGGCCTTAAAGGGGGTGGGGTGAGGTGTAGCCCTATACTGGCCCCACTTAAAGAAACTGGTTTTGAGGGGAGGGGTATACAGTTACACAACATTTCCACTTTTAGATTTTGGTGTTTAGCTGTAAATGTTGGCTTTGGTCTACCAGCATTTGTGGTTTAAATGAATAGCCTATATCATGCAACCATTTAATTGATAGGATTTATGTGGTTTAGTTCGTTAAAGGTTTTCACAATGGCAGGAGCTACCATAGGATCCCTAATAACATCAGGACCATAGTAACACTTCTGTTTAAGCAGGAGAGTAGTGCACTCAATGAGAGATACAAAATAGATAAAACATCTTCTGTATGTGGCACTTACAAAAGATTTGGCTTTAAAGTGAAGCTTTTACAACTTAATCTGGTTGGGTTTATAGATAGGAAATGTATCTGCAGGATTCTTGCTTTTGAGTATCTTCATGAATCTTGAATGCATTTATTGTTAGTTGCTTTGGATAAAAGCGTCAGCTCAATGACATGTGAACTATTGAGATACCTAATAACCATTTGTATTAGGGTTTTATCATTGATAGTTTGCACATTTGTAATAAAAACAACAACATTAGTATTCAGTCCTCACCAAAACAGTTCAGGTAGAGATAAAATGTTCCAAAGGATACAATGCAAAACCCAGCCATTTGAATTGAGTTATTCTAACTACATCTTCTAGCTCCATTATGTCTGTATGCTTCAACTGATATGTGTTATATAATGTATGTATTTGTCGTGTGTCTTCCCAGAGTATCCTCTAAAGATTACATTGTCCCTGAGAACCTCACTGTCCCTGAAAGCTGTTTTAAAAAAATCCTCAGCTCTTTGGTTAAGGGCACAGGAATGTTGTTTGTTGTTTATAACAGGAAGAGGGAAGCTCTCTGCTGACACCTGGTGGTGGTTGTGATGAAATGCTGCATGTGTTTGCACTGCTGTCTCAGTGGTCATAAACTGGTGTATTAAAGCTTGACAGTATTATACATTTCAGTATAGGTGTCGTTCAGTGAACAGCATTTAAAACAACATGTGTTATCCCTTTTAATTGCAGGGAGTCAGACGAGTATGAACGACTCCTGTGAGTCTCCCTGTTCTTCCTCCTCGTCCTCCTGTCCTCCTCTGCTCGAGCCCACGGACAGCGGACCCGATGGGCAGGGGATGTTTGACATGGATTCTTCGGACATGGATATGTCTGGCCAGCCGAACTACGACCCCAGGAGGCACTCCTTCAGTGAAGAGGAGCTCAAGCCACAGCCCATGATCAAGAAGGCCCGCAAGATCCTGGTGCCCGACGGCATGAAGGTGAGTCTGAAGTCTGACTGCAAACTCAGAGCAGCGGTGGACCTCGGGAGGGAGGTCATATCAGGCTATGATTAGCTTATTTGAAGCCAGACATCATTTGTATTAAGTCTTGATTGTAATTCCAAAACAAGACGTACAAATGTGTCTTGCACAGTGTCAGGGAACGTCTTCAGATTGCCCCTTTTGTCAAACCAGCAGCCCTAGACCGTTACATAATTCTTAACAATGAGGAAAAGAGCAATGCACCAAATCCTCACACTGGAGAATCTGAGATCCAGTTCCTTATATACTATGCATGCTACCAATTATGCATACTTCCTAATGGCCATGTACAATTAATTGATTATCTGCTTTCTTTCTATAGACTAATTGTTAATAATATAAGAGCTGAAATGACAACCTTGAGGAACTATTGCATAAATAAGCACTTTCTTGGTCTTGGTCCAGGCTAATATTTAGCACTTTTCATAATATAAGAATTACAAATCAAAGATGCAGGATAGTAACAAACACCAGAGCAACAACATGGTATATACACAACATACATAATATTAACACAACTGAGGATGAAGCATCTGAAAGGAACAAGTCCCACGCTCATTCATGGCCAAACACCCACATCACAATAGCAGAATAGACTCTACAGCAGTACTGCACACTTCTTAAGAAACCACTCGGACCATTCATTGATTATTTTATAGAACAACTTCTACCTAATACTATCTTAGTTCTCTGATCAAGGAAAAGTAAATCTTATGGGAACACACTGGCAGATAAATAATCCATGTGTGCTTCTTTTGTCTGTCCTCTTTTAGGATGATAAGTACTGGAGCAGAAGGTATAAAAACAATGAAGCAGCAAAGCGTTCTCGAGATGCTCGCCGTCATAAGGAGAACCAAATATCTGTTCGTGCCGCCTACCTGGAGAGAGAGAACGCCACCCTCCGACAGGAAGTGGCGGAGATCCGAAAGGAGCTTGGCCGCTGTCGCAGCATCCTTAGTAAATACGAGAACCGCCTCTCCGACCAGTGATGAAGGCGTGCAGCTAAATCAGGAAGAGGAGGAATATAACCTGGATAACATTTATGACTTTTTAGGGGTGGCACATTGGACAGAATTGGGTCAAGCAAGGGTGATGATGATGAGGAAGATGATTATGATGATGAATGTAGAAGACAAGGAGAAGGTTTGTGTATCGAAGCTCAGGTGTCTTGTTTTGTTGAGGTGTCAGCTCTTAAAAGTGAAAGGTGGAGAGAGTAATTTAACAGATGAAGAGATGTGACTTTTAAGAGTTTTGTTATTGGAGAATTGTATATTTTTATAATACTTACGAAAAATTATAGGGTGAGCAAATTTGGAGGATAATTTTGTATATTTTCTACATAGAGACGGGGGGGGGGGGAAAGCTATGGTAAATATCTTTTTATTATAGGTGAGTCAGGAGATGTTTAACAGGTGGTCAGCCATCGATGGGTATTTTTCGTCTTGATTACTTTAGTCAGGATGCAGCAGCAGGGGCAAGGACGCGTGTAACAATTGTAATATAGAGAGCAAAAAGTATCTTATAATCGTATAGTTCAACATTTTTGTGGATTTTATTCAAGCACTTAATTTGTTTCCTGTTTTATTTCTATCACTGGGGAGGGGCATGCTAGAGGGAGGCAACATAAGGGACAAGTGGGACACCATGTAAACAGTCCTGCACTATCAACATTGTCTTGTGAGTCCTTTTATTATATATATATATATATTTGAGTTCCCCAACAATATAAGTTCTTTGTACTTTAAGCTTCATGCAATTGGTACATCTTTCTCCAGTCCATACTCTTATCTTTGACCCCATCCACTTTTCTCTATCCCAGTTGAGTGCTTTTAATCTACTCTGGTGTCTTGTATCTCAGATAAACTGCTAAAAAGCCTGTTGTGGTGCCCCAGGTTCCTATTCTCCCTCTTCATCCTCTCTTTTGAATTGATGGGACGTTTCTCTTCCTCTGTTTCTATATCCTACTTCTCTATTTCTGCTCTCACTTATAGCCAATCCTCTTACAGTTACGTGCAAACTCTTCCCATAACAGTTTATCCCTGAGTTTCTCTTGTACTGCTGCGGTACATAGAGCAGTTATATCTCAGTGTTGTATTGTACTCTGAAATAGTATCAATCTGCCCTGTAAAACGCACTTCGTTACTTTACTGTTCTTCATGAACACACTTTAATCAGCATTAATATAGGGGGAGAAAGGTTGTTGTATATTGGATAGGCCTATACTGTTTTGTGTATTTGATGTATTCCAGGAGATGGTTTGAAACCCCCATTGAGTGGAATGGAGTTAAATTCTCAGATTCCTGGGAGAAATACAAGCCAAAATGTCCTATCTTGATCCACACAAGCTTGTTGGTATTTAGTGCTATTTCAATAATGCTCCTTCCTTACTGTTTACTCCTGTTATTACTCTTTACTTTTTACTGTATCTAAAAACTTCTCTGTGCATCCACAACACCTTCACAGGGGGCATGGTACACTATGTTATGTTGTGGGGAGGGATGACAAGTAATGGTGTGATTTTATTCCCCTCAATGACCATGATGAATAGTAACGATTACTGCTATTATTATTATTATTATTATTGTGATTATAATGATTATCCCTTTTGTTGTTGCTGTTCTATATTATTGAATGATTTTCTTTCTTTCGATGATCTGTTGCAATTTGAAACATCTTTGATCTTCAGTGTTCCTAAGAAAGACAATTCAAATGGAGAAAAAAAACCTCGCTCAGCTATTTGCATCCTGTCTCAGACCTCCAGACATTACTCTACGGACACTACTGCCACCTAGGTTTCTTTGACCATGGACTTCACAAGCGTGGCTCGATAACTTGAATATGACATTCATTACTTTACCTTTCGTGATGACCTCTTCGGTTCCCCGGCAGTGTACGGACTATGCACACTTTCAATATGCTCCTTGTTTGTTTATTTCAGCCTTTATCACCTCAGTCAGTGATTGTTTGCTCTCCCAACAGGATCTAGTCTCTAATATCCTCACAGATGTGGTTAAAAAAATATTTTAGTGACTCTAATTGAACTACAACTTCCCTGCTGCATCAGTGGTGTCCATGTTGGCCCACAGTGCTGGTTATTCGGATGTAGTTGAGATTTTTCCAAAAACACCAATAAAAGATTGTTCTCATTCAGTGCTGCTGCTCTTGTCTCTGGTGTTCCATCACAGTGTAATTGTTTTTCAAGATGATTGAACTCTTATCTGCTTTGTTTGCTTGCATGTTGAATTAAAGCCCAGTTTTGATCAGGAGAATGGGCAACAAAGGTCACATTTCAGGAGGACTACTAATCCATTTATCAACTTAGGCCTGATAACCAGACTATAATATGTGGTGAAATGTCCCCAGACTACTTGTTTTGATATCCTCCCTGTTTATTCACATGTGTACATTCCTTTGATAGGCAAAGCAGTCTAAACATGAATTATTGCCCAACAAAGGCAATTCTTCCGCCCTTTGACATTTCGGAAGTATTTTACTTAATCAAAAAATCTAAAAAGAGTCACTCAATGCATTATTCTTTGAACACAGCTGAGTTAGTCCACTTACGTTTAAAGAGATTACATAGTAAACGTGTTTATAAGGGCCTAAACAACAACTAAAGAAATTAAGATATCAGTCTAACCAGGCTGCATGTTTGGAAGCATATAGTCGAGCAAATGGTGCCTTCATGACATCAGGTAAAGTCCACCATTGTTGTTAGCATTTCCTGTTTGCTTACCTCTGTTTGTTGATTGTGTGAGATGGGGAGAGGGGGGGGGGGGCAGCAGGGACGTCATTAATCTTCTATCTTAACAGAAATGGGTGAAAGGTCCTTCAGGCTGGAATTTTCCTTGTTTCTATCCTCCCCAACGCGAACCAGATGTGTGCTCCTGGGCTGTACCCTCTCCCCCCCCCCTCTCTCTCCCCCTCCCTGGCTCTCTCTCACCCGTCACTCCCTCCCACCCTTTGTTCCCCCGTCTTTAAAAATCCCGTCTCTCCCGTCCCTCCCTCATATCGTCTTAGTCCTGGCTTCAAGGATGGACTGTGCACTGCTGTTGCTGTCCCTGTGGGCTCTGAGTGGAGCTGTGGCCCCGCAGACCCCAGGTAAGATCTGACTGCACCACTCACATCTGGAGAGCCACTGAGCCCTGCATGCACAAGGGTCACAGCACTCTTTGTTGTAGATTGTAGTTTCATATAAAGATGATCTTGTTAGCAGAGCTCGAATCTGTGCAATGAATGAGTTTTAAATGCAATGGACTTACTGCAACAGGGACTTTGTAATGTACTGAATGTTTGAACTTTGAGAGATCTCAGTTGAGGTTATAGGATGAGTTAAACATATAAACTATTTTGGAAAGCTAATACCAAACCGGTAATGTCATTTAAAGTAAGTTTGCATCTGTTTTTGTTTTTAGTTAATCATGGAAAGCCTGATTTGTGATGGATACTCATCCACCTCTCTAACACCTTCCGAAATGATTCTAGGACTGCAGTAACTTTTGGTTAGCTAATATGCACCATTCATAATTTAACCTAATTTAGTTTGGTGCTGCATGCATGTATTGTACACCGTGTCTCCATGCTGCTCTGGGATGATCATGTGTCCATTAGCTCAGAACATGTGGGTTTGTGGTCACATGGTTGTAAGCGAATACAGTAGCACACATGTTTTCATTCTTAGAAATGAAATATGGGGAACCCTGTTTGACTCCCCCCTTTCCCCTCTCTCTCCCCCTCAAATGTTCTGGAAATGTCCGAGGGTGTGTCGATTTAGGCCATGTTGCAATGTAAAAAAGTTTCTTTCATGATGTGTGATGGAATACATATGGAGAAGTGTAGGACATTTTAAACAAAGTTACTCCACTCAGAAGACACAAACCTAATTTTCTTTAGAGAAAAATCATGATTGACCGATAAAAGCCAAAGAGTTATAAAGCCTCCCATCTAAATACTTACTCATCTGGCAACTTGGGTGGCAAATATTTGCCCGGCCACCCACACTGACTTTAGTTTCCTTCAAAAAAACAAACAAAGCAGAATTGGCAACAAATTGTCCTTACGACCCTGAGCTTACGCATTTTTTACGAGGGACCCCTGAGGGCAATAGAAGCAAACAAACAAAGGGGGGGAATTACTTTGATGGTGTGATAAAATGTGTTTGGTATCACAACAGGGTCGTGTCCGGAGAGACTTCTGGGAGAGGAGCGGAGGAGGACGTGTCCTCGGCCCTGCAAGACTGACACGGACTGTGGCAACAAGCGCCAGTGTCTGTGTGACGGCCAGTGTGGGCTCAGCTGTGTGGCTCCAGGTAACCATTTTGATGCCCTTAGTAGTCAAACTGAACACTATTGTGGTATGAGTCATACAAAGTGTGTGTGTGTGTGTGTTTGCATATGCAGCTGTGCCAGCACACGTCTGTGTTTGTGTGTTTCCTGGAAATTAAAATACCTTGGTTGTGCTCAGAATCTGGGCTCAAAATGTACCCTGTGTCAGTGCTGAACACACACTTTTTATAATGCTTGTGTGTTGTAAAAGAGGGAATTGTAAACACATCCAGGCTGGTTATACAACCCCATTAGTACCACTTAAACTGGTTTAGGGCTGTTTCATTTGTCTTGACTAAGAAACAATGCATCACGTTCTGAGGTTTCTCCGTCTCCTCCTCAGGTCGAACGTGTCCCTGGCCTCTGTCCCCCAGTGAGACCTCAGAGGCTCGCCTCCTCTCTCCCACCCACTCCTTCTCCGCCCTGCTCGAGGTGCGCTGCAAGTCTGGATTCACTTTGCCCACTGGCTTGGATGCCACTATTCGCCGTTGCCAGGGTGACCGACAGTGGAGCGGTGATGAGCCCATCTGCTCAGGTGGGTTTTTGAGTTCAGCAGAAAAAATGTCTTTCTTATTTCATGTCAGGAATGTAAACACAGGTAATGAACCTCTGGGAGAGAGATGCTGTGCGATGTGCTACTTTCTTTTATGTAATATTGTGTCTGATATTTGACCGAGGCAGCAGGTACACTGTGTGTTTGTGGTGAATGAGTTCAGGTCCATTATGTGGTCAAGCTCTGAATGAAGCTTTTATTGGGATTTTGTTTTCATGCAAGGCCATAAGATAGATAGAGAAAGGGAGAGAGAAGAGAGAGAGAGAGATATTCAGGAAAGAAACGTCTCTGGTCGTGTCGACTGAGACATTGCACAACTGGGACCTATTCTCCTCATCACCATAGCAACCACAGCCTTAGTTGTTCATATTGGCTGACGGAAGATTTAACTGTTGAACTGTTAATAAGTTTGAAAAGTGTGTGTGTGGGGGGGTGGAGAATGTGTGTGTGTTCGCATGACGCATGGATGCACATATATATTTACAGTGTGTTGTTCGTGCACCACAGCACACACATTCAGCACAGAAGAGAAACCTATATAACACACTACATTAGAAAAAACTAAGCATAATAGGGCCTCTTTAAATGATATTTACACAGTTTGTGGTGTTATATATATATAATATATTCCAATCATGGACAATATTTGATTGTAAGGTATTTTGAGCAAAATACTACAATAAATATACTATATGACACAGGATGAAGCAATAACCAAAACCAAAAATGACAAGAGATGAATTCAAGATGAATCACAACTATTTGAACAATGTTTGAATAATAGTCTGCCATTATGAATACATTATAAGCTCCATTAATGGTACAGTATGTCCTACTTGTGTGTAGTAGAGATCTTCTGCACTCAAACTGAAACGTTACTGGGTTTGCTTTTTAGTCACACCTGCTGTAAGCCACAGGGGCCAAAACAAAGCTGTCAACACATTTGAAAAAAGGCAGAGGAAGCTGACAAAGAACACAAAAGACTCTCCAGTGTTTACAGGTTAATCTACAACCATAGTACTGCCGAGCCCAGAGATAATCATGTTGAACTTTCTGCCTGTTTAAATATAGGATTTTAAAATGAATAAGTGGCTCACAAAAGGCAAAGATTGTCTTACTGCTGTGCAGCCTTATTACTTCTACCGCTGCGCCGTAAGGCTGCACAGCGGTACATGATGTAAAGCCATCAGTATCTCAGTATCTTGACATTTCTCATCAACACACAGCACCTGGAAATATGCCTTTTGCTTAATGCTTGTGTCGACTTGACAGCAAAATCATCTTTAAAGCTCTGAGTCCTGCATTAATCACACACCATAGAGCTACAGTAAACACGCTTTCTCAGGAATCCTCAACCCAGCTGGGCTCAGTCTCACCGTCAAGATTTTTTATATTTTCAAAGATGTGAAATAAGGATACGATTCTCAGCTCCCTCTCTCTCGTAGAGTATCCTACTGCCGAGAGACAGGCAGAAGGTAGGTGGGTTTTGAACGTGTGAGAGCGTTTGTATTGTGTGTGTCCTTTGCATGTGTGTTAGAGTGTGAGTCGAGCTCCTTCATGCCTGTTGAGAGGCAGTGGGCGGCAGATCACTGTCAAAGTGGCACAGAGCTGCATACACACAGTGTGAGTGTGTGCGGGTGTGAATGTGCATCTACAGAGTGTGTGTATGTGTGTGTCTATGGGAGGAAGGTAGAGAGGTAGCTTTTCTGTATACATTAGATGTGTACGTGTATGGGGGCGGACTGCACATGTGTTGGAGAGTTTCTATGTGTGTGTGTTTGCTTGTGTGTGTGTGTGTGTGGGCGACAGATCACAGTCAGGAGAGTCAGAGAGCTCTCTTGCTCATGCTGCTCCAGGCCTTTCTGTTCCCTGCTCTCCTCTCCTCTGCTCTCTTCTCTCATCCTCTTTTCCTCTCATCTCTTTCTCCTCTCATCCTCTTCCATCTGAGGCCTCTGATAAGGTCTCTCTCTACAATGGGAGCCAAGGACATGCATGCAGCTCTAGGCTATTTAGTTAGTGGTTCGTGCATGCATCTGTTTGTGAGAGAAAAACAAAACCCTTTTTACATCTTTGGTCTCAATCAGATTCTTGTGCATGTTCAAAATCACTGTTTTGTCATTTGAAAAGAAGATGAATTTGATATACCTGCTTCATAGCCGTTTGGTGCAGCAGCCTGTGTGGGTGGCAGCAGTAGAGAGGCAGGAGAAGGGCGATATGTGAAAACAGAACTCAGCTTCAGGCTCTCATCCGCAGCCAAACAGACTCATAACTCACCCTCTCCCATAGGTACCTTTACATTCTTATATTAACGTTTCTCGGTTTCAGATACCTAAGACATCCCTCAGGCAAGAGCTGTCTCTGCCTTTCAAAGCCGTGTTCAGCACCAAAAACCCTGCGCTTGATGGAGCCCGGGTCGCTCCAGCCTCTCTCTAAGCACCACTCTTGATATTTATATTTTCACGAGCGTGAGCACTCAAACTTCCAGGAATGAGCAGTGCCAGGTGTTATACAATCACAGAGATATAGCTGTGAGCTCCGATAGGTGTGGGGCTGCGTTTCACCTGCTCCAACTTTGATTTATTACATAAGAATGTTTATCACAACTTAAATAGAACAAGACATCGAGTGAAACGCCTCTGTGGGTCACACACTATATAGGAACCCTGTTTAATACAAGTCAAATGAGGTAACAGGAATCCTTCCTCTGGCCATCTTGTTCTATTCCCTGTTTCTTTCCTTCTATACTGCTACTTGCAACCTGCAAAACCACATCACTTACGCACTCATTGTAATGTGTGTGATGTGTTTGTGTTGGTTACAGTGGACATGCATTCGATTCTGTTTAATATTTGAATCACAGATGCACATTAGATGCACACTGAGTGTTGCTGCATTTCTCTCTGATGAGGTTCACATAAAACATTGTCACTATAGGAAATAGTTTGAAGTAATTAGATTCCTCACTTAGTAAAAGTGGACATGTAATGACTAAGATAGTGTCAACAGCTAAAAGTCTCATCGGCACCCATTAGTTGATGCAGGTGTACAAATGGAAAAAGAATGATAATATAAAGCAAACATTTCTGCCTATATCTACTTGAATGATACATTAAATTGTTACCTAAGTTATATTATTGCAATACTTATTACTGGTACATTAGGGCCCAAGCAGCATTTTACTGCAATACCTACAAGATGTTATAAACTCATAGATTTTGTGTTTACAATCTTAATCTGCAAAGTTACTTCTAATGTGTGGTAAAAAGTACAGTTATTGTAACTGAGCTGTAGGAGAAGTGAGGGAAATGTATAAGAATAAGGATGCCCCTCACAATTGTACTTAATTGTAGTATTTTCCTAAATGTACTGAGGCACATCCCACCACGAGGCAATTACATTTTTCACACGTATATATTATGTATGTCTGATTGCTGTCTTGTTTGAATAACTGTGAGAAAAGGACCAATTCCTACAACCTTCTGTTCTTCTTTGACCTTCAGAGACTAACTTGCCTGAACAATCTGCCGCGGCTCAAACCTGCCCTCTACCTGAGGAGGTCGTCAACACCTTCAGCATCCAGGGAGACGCTACGGCAGGAACCTCCATCCGCTACAGCTGCCTGTCTAGGTGAGAGAAGGGGAGTGATGGGAGGTTATGTTGTGAGTGTGTAGGCTGGAGCTATGAAAACCTGAAAGGACACTAAGGTAGAAATGGAGGAAGTGAGAAGACGGGGATGGAGTGTGAAGAAGAGGGAGGAAAGACTTAATCACAGGAGAGCTGTGATATAAAAAACTATTCAGATCCTTTTACTCGAGTAAATTATTATGGGCTAAATGTACCCAGAGTAGTCTTTCTGCAGTAAAATAACCCCGCGTTTTATCTGGTTACTTTTAAATATTACAAATACAGTATAGGTCCAATTTACCTAATGGTCAAAAGATATATGTGAGGAGTTGTGTGATTATTTATGGTGCAGAACAGAAGCTGCATACATCTGTACTTATTATTGGGACATTTTGTAAGTATTTACCTCTTTGGGGCTAATTCAAACCATGTATGTATTATGTAGGAAGTTTAGAAGGGAAATGTCTCTTTCGTCTGTCTCATACTCAACAACTCAGACATCTGAAACAAAAAAATCAAAAAATAAGTCCAGTGTGATTATAATAATATATCAATTTTTATATGTATTATATGTATTTCTTATGTAAAATTGGAAATGCAATTTATAACTTTAGTAGTCAGATACATGTAGTGAAGCAAGTAGTACAATATTTGCCTCTATATCTGATTTGAAGTGGAGTTAAAGGATAAAGTAGCTCAAAATGGAAGTGTACTGAGTAAGTTCAAGGTTCAAGGTTCAAGGTTCAAGGTTCTTTATTGTCAATCTGACATAGCTACAGAGTAATTATGCAGTTGAAAATCTTATGTCACAGGCTTCTCCAACAATGCAACATAATAACATAACATAATAACAATAAGAGCAAGAGCAATACAAAAATAATAATAGTTATAAAAATGAAATAAAGTTATGATGTGGAATAGTGCAGTATGAGTCTATATACAAGTTATTGGAATGATATATATATATTAGGTATTAGATACATACTACTGAGTAGCAGTTGAATGTTTGAAGTTGTTTCAACAGTTCAATTTTGTAACAGTCTCACTGCCCGGGGGAATACTTAGTTATTTTCCCGCACTGTGGGAGAGGTGTTGGGGAACGACGGGTGATGAGTGATGAATGGCAGGGAATTCATCTTGATCTGCCAGCTGACGCTTTCTCCATTGAACTAACTAGGTCATTACAGTCTAATCTTGTATTGACTTCCCTTTACACACTGACTCATCCACAGGATAAGACGAGTCCAAGTGTCTGTGTCAGCCAGAACTGTGCACACAAAATTCAGACACTCTGAAAGAGAGAGACTGAGTGTAAAAAGGAAATCATTTACACCTTCTTCTAACACTTTTATTCAGACGAAGCTCTTTAGCTGTCAATACTGTACATGACACACTGCCATCTGTCTCCATCACTCTCTCCCTTTCTCTTCTGCAGGGCGGATATTGTGGGGAGCAGTGAGAATTTCTGCCAGGATAATCAGACCTGGCAGTATCCTCACCCCATCTGTAAAAGTAAGTGCACTGTGTCACGGCATGTGTGTGGCTTTACAGTCAGTTCTCATGCATCTTTCAACGTTAGCAGGAGAAGAATGAATGGACGTTAATGTGAAGGGACTATTTTGTACAGATGGTTATTTATTGGTTGTGTCAATGTGTTCATGTGTGTGTGCATATATGTAGAAAACTAGTGAATTAAAGAAGAAGACAGTCAAACCTCGTCATGTATTCATCATTCAAATGCTACGTTTCGCAGTGCTTTTCTGCCATCTTGTGACCAAGCCTAGTATTGCATGGCCTGTTGAAAGAAAAGGCATGCACTGTTGCAGTTTCAGGCCTTCAGTTTCACTTTAAAACCATCAACAGGAGATCTTATCCATCTGTTTTAAAGATACTTGATTATATTAACTTAATTTTATGATTTTTTCCCTGTTGCTTTTTCTTGATATCACCTCCTGGCAATATTTCATGTTCCTTTCCAGTACTCTTATAGTCTGCTTCTCTCTTGCTCTCTTAGAGGTGTTCTGCCAGCCTCCTCCAGAGGTGCAGCAGGGCTACGTGGTGGCTGTCCAGAAGACTGAATATGAAGCTGGCTTTGACATCCACTACCTGTGTAAAAAGAACTTCCAGCTGGATGGACCCCAGAAAGTCACCTGCCTGTCCAATGGCAGCTGGAGTGCATCGCCCCCATTCTGCAGAGGTAAGGGATGTTTAGATGGTTTGAAGATCAGGTGAAATAATAAGTATTTAAGCAAACAAAACCAGACCTTCTTGATGTTTTTCCCAGCTCGCTGTCTCATCCCTGCTGAGCGGAGCCGTGTGATGATTGGTGGAGTGAAGCGCTGGCCGTTTGACTTGACAGACGCCGTGGTTCCTCACAGGGAAAATGTGACGTTCTTCTGCAAACACCCCCGTAAGCCGTGCAGCTTCTCTGCAACCCAGACCTGCTTCGATGGGAAGCTGCAGCCACCTGCCTGCTACCTTGGTAAACCTCCGACCATCCATACAGACTGTCCTTTTTCTTATCTGTATCTGTCAGTCTCAAGAACCTGAGAGGGATTGATACACATTGTTGCCAGGTTTTCAATATTCATGCCCCTTCTCTTTGTTTTTCAGAGCCCACATGGTTGCAGTTTAAACTCTTCCCTCACCGGCTGGTCTCAGAGATTGAAGCTTGTGAAACTGATGATGTGGAGTGATGACCTCGACCCACCCATCTCTCATGACCCTGTGTCTCACTATGACACACACCTCCACCCACAGCAGCCCCTCTTCACTCTGCAGCTTTGCATTAATATCTATGCTAACATTGTGATGTGCTGCCTCTTTTCTAAATACTATCAAACTGCTGGCTTAATTATAATCTGCTAACCCCTAAAGCATTAGTATTCCTCCTCCAGCTTGAGCAGATACTGTAGATGCAGACCATAGGAGGCTGTGTATAAAATGCAGCAATATCAGTTAAGCCTGTGATGATACCTTCATGTAGCCGAACTCATAATGTCCTGACTCTGTGATATCTCACTGTGTGATCCTTATTCTCTCTTGAACCTGACGCATCAAGTCTTAAGGCTTGTAAGTTTTTGATGATGTGAAATAAAGTAATGTCAAACTGGTTTGATCTCTGTATTGCTTCACATAAAGTACTGTATGATTTCAACTCAATGCTTTTCCATCCTCCTCATGTGCTTTGCCTCCCGTCGCTGTGTCTCTCAGGCGCACAGAGAGGCTGTGTGTGCAGGCTGCAGGTTCAACAGTACTCATAGGCTGAACATGGCTACTGGTCGGACCCGGTAGGCTGCGACACCATAGCAACTCCCCTTGACCCCTCCCTCCCTCGGCATTCGCAGCATCACCCTTTACACTGCACAGTCATATTTGGTCCTCCGGAAATATCCACAGCACGGGTAAGCCAGTCCCTATGCAGCGAGTGTATGGGTGGAGTATAGTTTAAAATACAGTTTTTAAATGTATCGAAAGAGCGTCCGGCTCTGACAGCACGGCTGGAATCAATGACAGCGCCGGGAAAGTTTGTCCTCAAGCTGCCGGGTTGCGCTCTCGGTGTCTCGGACCCTCGGCTCTAAAATGGCTGGCTGTAGGTCCGAGGAAGCTCCGGAGCAAAGGGAAGGATCCGCTCCTCACTGCGACTGTCTGTAAATATTCACGTTTCTCCACTCGGAGCGACGTGTTAGCAGTGGCGTTGTCCCAGGTCCGAGAGCTGTCACACGCATCATAATAATATTGGCATTTCGGACCTAGGACTGTGCGTAATGGCGTCCTCCACGTAGAGTGCTCCTCGGTTTACCCCCTGACAACAGGCTTGTATTTTTTAATCAAAAAGAATATGATTATGTGCCAAAGCTACATGAAACGTTGTATTATTTATGTTGCATGTGCATGGTAGAAGTATGAGAGAGGGGAAGTGTTATTTCGCTCACAGCAGTCGGACCCAGCTGTGCTCCGGTGCGTTTCTCTGAATGATCGGCGAACCCTCGGTGAGAAATCCGCTGAGCTATAATTTCGGATCATGCAAGGTAACCACATATCAGGACAGTGTGATGTTAAAGAGGGAGGAGGGGTCGGATGAGACGCTCATCATTTCGGACTAAGGAGTAAAGGTGCTCAGTCTGATCAGCAGGCTGTTGGTAATATCACAACATCAGTGATTATTGGATTTGGCAAACTTGACCCCAATAATCACTACTGAGACTGAGAGTTTTTTCATCCATCCCAGGATATTGATTTAGTTCTGTTCCTTTGCTACCATGAAATGTGCTTATTGCTATTCTAATTTACCCCATTTTAGTTAGTAATTTATTTTGTTTTTCCTATTTTTAGAAATATAAATGGGTATGCCCCAAAATGGATTCTCAGTTGGCTTCAGTCCTGACCAGTGGCAGCCTGGATGTCCAAAATGGCAGCCAGTGTGCAGAGGGATCAGGGCCAGAGGTGTGTGTGGACCCAAAAGAAATAAAGACCTCCTCCACTGTACCAGGTAACCCCGAGCCATGCCCTGTCAGAGCAGCAGTGACCACCAGGCAGGATGCTCCATCAATCAATGGGAATAAGCCAGAGGTGGGCGGGACTTCTAAGCCAGCCTCTCAGGAAACAAGGAAGAGTGGTGGGTTCAGACATCCAATCACAGTGAAGACTGGAGTGCCTGTGTTGGGCAGCCAACCAATCAGAATCAAAATTGTTGTTCCCCCACGGTGCAAGAGGCCAATCACAAACTCTGCCATCAGCCTTACCAAAGACTTTGCTCGCTCACATTTAAGACGACCTGTTTCTATTTCAGCTGGAGCAGAAAAAAGCAGATGTAAAATCTTGATATCTGCTGTTAAGAATGAAGGAGAAATCAAGGAAGTTATTAATCATAAAACTGAGGAAGCTAAGCCAAAATCATTCCATGACACAGAGGCAGAGAAAGGGGAAAGAATCTGCAAAGAGAGACATGTTTGGGGTGTTAAAATCATTCACGCTGATGGGTCTGAGACTCCCTTAATCTCAAGCTCTGACCCAATTAAAATATTGAGCCTGAAAGGAATAAAAGAGGAAACTACAGAGAGAGAAATTGAGGAAAGTTTTCCTCTAGTTTTGCAAGAAATTGATTTAAAGTTGTGTAATACGTTAAATGAGGTGGGAACGGAGGAACAGACAGAACCACTGGACCTGAGTCTGCCGAATAAAAGAGAGAGAAGGTGCGAACGCTTCCTGGATGACTCTGGCTGCGAGAGCTCGTTGATCATGGAGGTGGATGAATATGAGGGAGAAGGAGACAGAGACATAGTGGAAGAGGATGAGGATGTTGAGTGCTCTGCGCTTCGTATGGACGCCACAGATACACTGGACGACTCTCTCCTGTCTCCCTCTTTCTTCTCTTCCTCTGTCTTCACCTCCCTCTCCTCGATAGACACTGAAAACCTCCTTCTCATAGACGACCTGGGAATCCCGTACACGCTCAGTCCGGACGGGCTCAAAGTGCCGCAGGTCGATGCGTCAGAGTCAGAGGATCAGGCAGAGGGAATGGGGTCACCACTATTGGCCACATTAGCGAATCCTAGCCTCAGCCAAAGTGTAAATAATGCACTAAACGCACCTTCTGATCATCTTTACACCTCTCCAGCCCCTGGTTCTCCATCACTAAGTGTTGATCAGACTTCAGAAGTCTTTCCACGTTTGATTACAAACTCGGATCCCTGTAATGCAGCGGAGACAAGCGTTAAATCTGTTCAGGAGGCTAATGCTGTTATATCAATCCCCCCCCAGCCCCTTCAGATCCTCACCAATCCTTCTACTAACGCTCCTATCCTCCTCGTGTCCTCCTCTTCCTCCGCTCAGGTGGGTCTCTCTCTTCCACTTTCAGTTACTCAGACCACCCCCGGTGCTTCCACCCCCATGTTCCTTCTCCTGTCGTCTGTACCCTCTTCCTCTGGTGACTCTACCTCCACCCCTATCGCTGTCCTGGACCCCTACACGGGTCAGTTGTCCCAGATCACCGCGGCCTCAGCCCCCGTCTCGCTCCCTTTGTCCCCCGCTCTGCCCATGCTGTCCCACCCTGTCATCAGACTGAGCCCCAACCACCCCCCTGCCATCCTATCAGGAGCGACCAACGTTACCTCTGTCCTCGCCTCCCTCTCTGTCCCTTCTCCCTCTCTTCAAAACGACCGCCTCACCCTTCACTCTCAAATCAGCTCTTCCGATTCCAACCCTGGAAGCGAAGCCATATCCTCTGAAGAAGTCTCAAGTGAAATCCACAAGCCATCAACTTTTACAGCATCCTCTCCTCACCAACAGTCTGCTAGTTTGACCTATGTCCCCTTAGCTCAGCCCAGCTCTGAGGCCCAATCTCCAGCCTCAGAGTCCAGGTTTGACCCCTCTGACCTGCACTCAGAACATTTACCTCTGGACGACCATCTTTACTTCTCCAGCGCTGCTCCTCCCTCCCCTCCCATTGGACCCATTCTCTCCTCTGATAATCTGGACCCCCTCGACCCTCTGGATCCTCTCTCTCCCGAGGGGTCCCAGGACGACATGGGCGCTCGCAGGGTGCTGTACTGCCAGCTGTGCCCACGGGTCTTCTTTTACCTCTCTGACCTTGAGCGCCACGCCATCACGCACTCGCAGAAGAAGCCTCACGTCTGCCAGCAGTGCGGCAAAGCATTCAAACGCTCCAGCCATCTGCAGGTCAGTAGCAAGCTAATTATGGCAATCATTTAATTAACAGTAACAGCAATAACACCAGATGTCACACATTATTAGTGCAGTGTCTGTAAAACAGGCATTAACTGATTTTAAGCCACTTGGGAGCAGTGGAAACCAGCTGTGAACACAATTCTGAGATTTTATCACTATCAAGTTGATATTTTGGCAAACCGTTGCTTATATACACATCCAGCCGATGTGTACTAACATTAGCATCGATTTGGAATCATGTTTGTCCCCACCTAAACTAATAAGTCCAGTATTAATTTTCCTTTCAGCTCTGGTATTGGTTTTCACCAACTCCTGAGGGAAATATTTGTCTGTTTAGCTGCTAAATGCTCCACTGGGTTGACCAGCTACTCGCTAATTTGCCTGTCTTTCATTTGGCGCTGAGCAGGTAGTGTGTAGCAGCTGCCTGATGCAAGCTGCTTTGAGAGCAATGAGGATGAACCAGACATTTAGAGTTTCTAGTTAATTACAAGAACGAGCTGTAAGATGCTACTGAGGAGCTGAGGTGTCAGGTAATAAGTTTTAAAGGGTTAGTCACAGAAAGTCACCCTCTTATCATGCATAAGTGATCAGGTTGCACTACTAAAGGGACAGTTTATCCCAATATCAAATATAAATATTCTTCGTCTTACCTGTAGTGCTATTCATCAATATAGATTGTTTTCTTAGGAGTTGCTGAGAGTTGGAGATATTGGCCTCAGAGTGGTCTGTCTCCCTCATACCTTCAAAAATATACATGACATTACATGACATTACATAGCATTTAGCTGACGCTTTTATCCAAAGCGACTTACAATAAGTGCAATAAACCATAAAGATTCAAACTAAGGACAACAAGAACAGGGCTGACATATTTACTTCAAATAAGCAATATCATTGGAAGTGCTGTCGCATAAGTAAAACTCTAAAGTGCGTTTTTTTTATTTAGGTATAAGCGAAACAGGTGGGTCTTCAGTTTGCGGTATACATTTGAAAAACTCACAACTTGGCTTCTCAGGATAATCCACACACCTTGTTGTGAGCAGTTTCATGTCGGGACTGTTTTTCTTTTAGAGAGTGGCGTTCATCTTCTTATGGGCGAGGGGCTATTGCTTGTGAGAGTGCGAGACGTAAACAATAATGGCATCCTTGTTTATGCACGCTTTCCTCTGCAAGGTGATAAAGTAAAAATAAATTAGTTCTGTAATGAAAGTGCTCATAACAAGATCTGCTAATTATCTTGATGAAGCAAATCATGATTTCTTGACAAAGATATTTGCTGTTGAGTTTTTCCAATGTAGTTATTTGGAACTCTTATCTCCACTAGTGAGGTACAACTTTGTTCCATAATATTGGTGAGAAATCAGAGGTTTCAGAGGCCATTATCTCACACTCACACCAAAACAACATAGATTGATAAATACCACTGTACGAGGAAGGTGGTGGAGGTGAACTGTCCCTTTTTGGTAAAACAATCCTGATTATAGGTGCATTAGTAAAAGTGTTGAGTGATGGTTTCACCGATTCTTCATCAAATGTGTTTTTATTTCCCTCAACAGAGACACAAGCACATCCACACAGGCCAGAGGAACTTTGTGTGCCCGATCTGCTCCAAACGCTTCAGGGAGGCCGGCGAGCTGCAGCGCCACCAGAGGGTCCACACCGGAGAGAAGCCCTACCAGTGCCAACTCTGCCACACGCGCTTTGCCGAGCGCAACACACTGCGCCGACACACCAAGCGCAAACACCCCTACCACCAAGTCGCCATGGAAATGCTGAACGAGAGAAGGGACAGAGGAGATGGAGGAGGAGGAGGAGTGCAGGAGGAAGAGGAGAGCGCTGAATGGTATAGCTCCACTGTGTCTATTTTAGATCATTCAGAGTCAGAGACGGAAACTTAAAAGAGTTTTCTGCAGACTCCAAAAACAAGGGAAGGAGGAAGAGGGGGATCATATGTAACATTGCTTAAACACTTAACTTTCCTTTCAAAAAGGGAGCACTTGCAATATCTATTTTAATGTTGTTTTAATTTATTTATATGAATGTGTATTATTTCCATTCCACTTAGTGGTAAAACTTCGGCCTTCAAAGTCATTAATGATTTTGATATGAGCTTTCCTGTAGAGAAACAGTGAAATACATTTATATGTAAATGAAAGGGGAAGATTATGCCTGAAATCATGGTTTTTAAGAGTATAGAATATTGATTCGACTGCTAACATGCCCCCCACGATGTTGCATTCCCATACAGTCCATTACAAAGCCCTGAAGTGCTTGAAAAGAAGGATGACTTATTTACTCTATACGATCCTCTGCTCTAGTTGTGTAAATAGAGATGCATATTTGTACTTCTGCACTACCCTATGTGAAAGATGTGATCTATCTTTCTCACCGTCAGAGACACTGTGAGTCATTTGCACTTATTTTATTTCAATATTAACATTTTGTACATTGTGGATGAAAATGCCATGTTATCTTGTGTTGCACCTGTCTATTTGACTTATTTGATTCATGTGAGAGTTTTGACCAAATGTTTTTGAGCTATTATAACACTTTACTTACATTTTTTGTTTATTGTAAATTATGTTTAACTTATTTAAATTAAATTTTGTCAACTGTAATTACATGTTGCCCTATCTTCTTTTTCAGTGTTCCACCAAGTTAGTGTCTTTTAAATAATTGAAGTGTTGGATGTGGCCTTTTATGATAATCACATTTAACTCTCCTTGATAATGAACATGGCCCAGGTCCACATCTCTGCTCTAATTTAAGCTGATCCTCTGATTTGATTTTCATCTCTTCATTAATCACCAAAAATGTGACCAGACATTACATGGATCTTTGTGGGAAAAAAAGAAGATACCTGATATATATCGTCTGGACCGCCTCCAGGGAGTAATTGAGAGTCCGTCCTCTGTTTTTTTGCACACTCTCAATTTTCTGCTCCATTTAAGCGACGGAGCCTAACAGAGCCCGGCTCAAGATAAGTTATTAAATACTGTATCGCTCAAATGACCTGACTGGGTCCTTGTGGCCGACCCATTCCTCATTTTTACGCTTGCCTCCATGCGAATAGAGATGCCCTAGCATGCTGAAAGGCCTGCGCTAAGCTCCATTGTATCTGAGTTTAGGAAACTCACTTTAGAGGGTCAGTGGAAGGAGAGGTGTGAGCAAAGGTTAACCAAGCAGAGAATGAAGAACGTGCTGCTGGTGTTGAGGATTGTGCCCTGTTCAAACTGCAGGGTGCAGATGTTTAATGCATATTTTACTTTCACTATTTTACCTTATCTTTAAATACCTTTTACGTTGATATATAACTTCCAAGTCATAGATGGAATCTTTCCTGTTCTAAAAAAGATTGTAACTCTTTAGTCGCTGAGAGGTTGAGTTCTGGCCTGGTTGGCTTAGACTGACGCTCTAACAAAAAATATGTTGAACAAATCTTGATTGAATGAAAAAGGTCAACCTGTTTACATATGCAGAAAAGGTTGAGGATAATCGCAGCTATCAAAAAGACCCTCTTTTCCACACACCTCACGCAGGAGAACAGGTGATAATTTTGACTACGAGTGCCGCCCTATTTCATGACATTCAACTCAACCAACCCATTGCGACCACACAATAATAAATTATATTACAAACATGACCAACACCAAAATTCAAACCGTGCAAATTTTACATCAAAATACATCCCTTTTTGATTGAATCCATGGCTCGAACAATTATAAGAAAAGTAATTGTATACAATTACCATTTCCAGCTGTCCTTTCCATTTATAGCCAAGCAGCTACTCATTTAATGGATCGGTTTACATGTGTTTAAGTTTGTCTTAAAATAATACTCACATTGTCCTTTGTATAGTTTGAAGTTATTGGCTGTTGTAGTGGTTCCTCTTGTCTCCACTGGCTGTAAAATGCTCACATCACAATGCAATTTCTATGTAAGAGATGGAAGGACAACATCTGTGGTCTAGTTCAGCTGAAATTGATACAGTCTTCATCAGTCTGAGATGAATAACAAGGAGGGGGGGGAGGGATCTACTAAAATTGCATTGTTTTTGGCATTAAATTCCCACCAACTTTAAACCCCTCCCCCAACAAAACACAACAAAACAAGGAGAGTTTTGTACAAAAAACAGCTAAACTTCAGATGACCTTTTTGCCCAGAAAAGGTACTGTTGAGTCCCCCATCTCTTCCACTGTAGACGAGTAATAATTGAACTCTTCAGGGCCACTATAAAGAGGGGAAATTATTTCAGCAAGAAATATATTTGTCGACGTACGAGTAATATTTTTTGTTAAAAACTACTTGAAAAATTGGAACCCTTCTTTGGTTCTCTCTGTCATTACGCCAGGGGTACAAATAAATGACCAGACCTGCTTTATGGTGTCATTTGATTTATAGAATTGTTTTATAATATACCGGAGTCAATGTTAGTTTTTGCCAACTTTCTTGTGTGTCTTTGTTTAGTATCTTTCAAACTGTCTCTATACAACATGTATGCTATCTTTTCTTTCCAGCACTCACTCAACTAGAGGTCTAACTTATCATTCTGTCACTATAATGAACTATAAAGCTGCCAGAAACTCAAAAGACTGTACAAATAAAAATGACAGAGATGGCTATAAAAATTGGATTCAAATTCAAGGTTATAATAAAATATTGTTTCACTTTTTCTGAACACAAATACAGCAGATCATACGTAAGAAGCAAAACTAAATTACATGTAATATAGTTTTGTGAAAATATTGCAGTCTTTTTACATGCAAGTGAGTTTATGTATATTTGGGAAATGATGAAAACAAGGGATTGCACTCGAGGCATATTTCAAATAAAATAGAAAATAAACATAAATATACACATATCAACTGAAAATAACAAACATAAACAGTTAAAATATAAATATAACAGTGAAAGATATCTATCAATAAGGTAAAAGGTTTTTTAGCCAATAAATAAACCAGATTCTTAATGACTGTTACATTTTATTTTGCATGATGATATCTTAAAGGGACCTATCATGCAAAATGCACTTTTGTACGTCTTTTATACATGAATATGTGTCCCCGGTGTTCCAGGGAACTCACCAAGTGTCAGAAAACACAACCCTCTCTATTTTCCTCCATACCCAAATCTCTAAAAAAGGGGCTGCAACGGATCTGATAAAAACTGATCCAGATTTGAACACTGTCCTGACGTCAGGACAGTGGCGCTACGGCTATTGGGCCAACTCCACCAATCAGGAGGAGACAGCCACGGCCATTGCCGTTCGAAAGCACTGGAGCTGTAAACTAGCTGTAGTACATATGCCAGGCCTGTAGGTGGTGCTGTTCTCACAGAATCAGCCCTTGCAAAAACAGGGGTAAATTGAGCGAAATGAGGCATGGCTAAAATGCATGATCTGTTTGGTATTTTGAAAAAAAAAAAGTATAAATATGCCTTATATAGGTATGGTCCTACAATATATTATTATAATATAGCATGATAGCTCCACTTTAAAATATCCCTATTTTGTACCCAGTACCCTCAATTTTGAGTTGACTCTTATTTTCTTACTCACACTTACAGTATGCCCCTTCTTATCTCTTCTATAAAAGATGAGGCCCTTACTAGCCTTTTTATTGTAGAGGCTCATTGAAGTGCTAAGTTCATATTGTTAAGGTCACTCCGAGGTTCCAGCCATTGAATCAGCTCTGTTCTGTCAGTAACACAAAACAGACCCGGTCCCCTAATTGACACTACTGGGCTGTTACACTGCTGAGCCTACAAGGTCCTCAGAGCGTGATGATGATGAATATTCAACCGGAGTAGTGTCGGATCAGCAGTCCAGCTGGAAGTGTGTGTGTACAGTAGAGTGTGTGCGTGAGTGTGTGTGTGTGTGTGTAGGGTTGGTAGGCGTTCAGATTGCACACAGCTTCAAAGTGCAGTGACAGACAGAGGGATGATGGACAGAGTGCAGACACATATTTGTGTGGTCTGTTTGTGTGTGTGTGTGTGTTGCGTGAAGTGGAACGGGCAGCAGGGCCTCCGAGTGGCACGAGGCACGTGGCCAAGTGATTGAAGTGATAAAGGTAGAGGAGCAGAGGAGAGCCGCTGCTGAACGACCAGGCAGCAGACGTGATGGAGTGTGTTGGACTGGTTTGTTTCAGCTTTATACTCTCTGTGATACATCCTGCACCTTGATATGTTTGTTGTATATCCACTCTGTTGCATCACACACGTCCCATTATTGTAGGCCAAGATGATGGAAAGCTAAACTAACCATGACTTTCTTCTTCTTTATTGTCATTACACAGCTCAGCCATGGGAGGGCACACTCACACTTGTGATGTTCTGCATGTACTGCCACATTCCCTATGCTGGCTCTCAGCTCTCTCAAATGGTGGAGGGATACTTATACGAGGGTGAAAGGCAGAAGACAGTGAGCCTGGGGAGAGCTGGATCTACATTCAAACTCTGCAGTTTCAGCAGCAAAGGCGGCAGGTTTGACATAAATATGAAATTGCCCATGAATGTATTTTTAATCCAAGCGTTATGATGCTTCTCAGTCTGTGTGTTGCATGTGAAGGCAGAGCCCTGCACACACAAAATGAGTCCAGAATTAAACTGAGAAATATGATATTTCACAAGGGAAAGGTTAGCAGCTTGCAAGCCTCTTCGCTCACCAGACACAGTGCAGGATTAACACTATGGAGTGTATGTAAGTGTGTGTGAGAGAGAAAGTGGTAGAGAGGGAGGGAGAGAGAAGGAGGGTAACAGGTGTTGACCAGAGAGGGAGACCAGGCTGTAGACAAGAGGGTGTGGCTGTGCAGGAGAACCAGAGGAATAAGCAATTACATCACCTTTCCCTCAATAATGTGCCATGCTGTCAGTGCAGTCATTGTTTATATAAGTCTGTGTGTGTGTGTGTGTGTGTGTGTGTGTGTGTGTGTGTGTGTGTGTGTGAAATGCTTTTACAGGGCATGAGAGGAAAAGCAGTCAAAGGTGAGATTCGATAATGACGAAAAAAGCAGACATTCTGTGCAAAAAGAGCCGTCAGTCTATAACCTCGTATTAAATTAAGGTTCCCATTCACTTTGTGATCCATTAGTTGTTCCATTTTGTTCCATGGCAACCGTAATTGGCCCATGCGTTGCTATCTCTGCTGTTCTTTCCTTTCACATCTGATGGAATGAGAGCAACCCATTCCCATGCTGTATCCCTGTGTTGGCCCCAGCTCTCTTCCTGTCCCCTCAGTAAAGACTTCCCCCGGTGTTGCACCCTCCCTGCCTCTCCAACTTTTGCTGTCTCCTCACCCTCTCTACCTCCCCCCTCTGTTTCCCCCTCCCAACGACCTGCTGAACCAGCACACACCGGCCTGTCTGTCAAATCGACAGAACAGGTGCTCCAGCAACGACCTCACGTCCCCCACTTTTCCCCCTCTGCAGCCCTAAGGCTCATTCACACACACACACACACACACACACACACACACACACACACACACACACACACACACACACACACACACACACACACACACACACACACACACACACACACACACACACAGGCAAACACTCTCCTGCAAGTTGCTTTGAAGCTTGAGGTTAAACTCGAGTGATTTCGCTTGGCACCGGCGCGATACATACTGTAAAGTATATGCTGACGGACACTGACTTACTGACCTGTGACTCTCAGTCGTGTCATACACATTCACACACGCCACACACACACACACAAGTGTAGTTGCACGCAAACACTACTAAATCACTTAAAGAGGGTGACCCAAAGGTGTCTTGACAGGAGCATATGAGCCTGCAGTGCTGCTGCAGTACATGATTTGATGTGAGTCCAAAACACTCCCGGGCTTTTCTCGCTGACTTGTAATAAAGCGACTCTTTATTCTGCCTTCACTTTTCTATCCATCACATTATGTGGCAATTCAGCTCCTAACATTGCTGGACTATCTTCACCAGTGAGTCTACTTTTCTTTAAAGTCACGTACAAACAAACACAAACATGCTTATTGTCTTTGATTCTGCACCTGAATCAATCAGTCAGCATATGTCAGGGGGGAGTGAATTGCTGCTATACGAGAGGAGACGAGGCCATGGAGGGGGAGGGGGAAAGTTTGACAGTCACTCACAGTTGGCACCAAGGATCCAGGATGCATTGGGGCGGATGGTGAGAGGGGGCAGAGAGAGCGAGGCAGAGGTAGAGAGGGTGAGTTTGTATTGCAGTAGGGAAGAGGGAACCACTGATCCTTTTTCTCTTTGCACTTCACCTTTAGGGGGAGAAAAGAAGTGTGAAAGGGGGCAAAAAGAAAAAAAAGGATATGAAAAGAACATGAAAGAAAGGAATCGTCATTAAACGCACTACGAAGTTCTCTCTTTCCCTCTCTTCCTCCATCTCGCACCTCTCTCAATTTAATCTTAAATCCACTCTCAATTTCCCCTGAGGGACTCAATTCTCTCTTTTCCTGTAAGTATTCTCTTTCATTCTCTTGCTTTTATTCTCTCTGTGTTTTCAGTGCCTGCTTGTGCCTCCGTGCCCTACTATAAAACATGTCTGTGGCAAACAACAAATCTAAATCAATTGCTTGTTAGTAAATTGCATTTATGCGTGTGTGGCCTTCTTTTTGGACTTTTGTAAATAAATGCGATATGTGTGTGTGTGTGTTTATGGTATTGGGAATAGGAAGAGCACTGTGGTGATTTAGTATGCATAACCTCGGCTACTTCACAACATGTGTGTTTGTGTGTGTGTGTTTGTCCATTCCCTTCTAACAGGCTTCCTCTGGGTGTTCTGTGGCCGGCCAGCTCAAATCAATATTGTTAATAGGTTGTGTGTGTGTGCACTAATACAGCTTATGTAGATTCCCAGCTCTCTTTATTTCAGCGAGGCAGTCCCACTTCTTTTAGTGCATGACACATTCGCGGTCCTGCTGTCACAGTGTGAGTGTGTTGTGCGATGCTGTAGGTGTTGCCACTTCATGTTTGTCCGTCACAATCGGCCCTGACGTCTGAGTATCTGCTGGGGCTTCTGTCTCTGTCACCCCCCTCTCTGTAGAAGCCATCTTGTCAGTTTAATTCTCTGTATCGTTAGTTTGTCTCTGTGGGTGGGCCTGTGTGACTCTCTGTGTGATTATGACAGGCTGTCTATAGGGAGGCCTGCTGTTGCCAGAGCAGCTCGCCGCAGTGTTCAGTCTGCCTGTAGGTCTGGAGACTTTGGGTCTTTATTTCCCCCTCCATCTATCTCCGCTGTGCTTTGTGTGCCTCTATCAATATCGGTTTGTGTCTATCAGTGGATTAACAAGCATCTGTCTCTCTCACTACCCTGCTTCCTCTGCTTCTCTGCACCAGTGAGAGGCATAAGGAGAGGGGTCCATTCCTCCTGGTAGAGCGACACCAGGAACTTCCTCTCTCTCCCCCCCACCCTCTCTCTCCCCCTCCACCATGACACTACTGGCCTCCGAGAGGTCGCTTCTCATCAGGAACAAGTTCCGCTCAGGTGAGGATCCTGAAGTCTCAACTCACGCCAATTATAACAGAGAAAGGTTTATTATCCCCACAGAACAATGGCTTTATATCTGGGGCATAATTGGCAGCGTTGACATCGATATGTAGAGGTGAAGTGTTGGAGAGGGTTATTGGCTGGTGTGTCACATTGTCTATGATGTGATCAATAGAGTGATGGTATTGATCAGGGTGAATGTATTAAGGGATTGATACACACTGACACACATGTCTTGAATAGATGTGTAAACAGCTGAGATTGAGACCAACGGATGTGCTCATGACACTGTGTGACACTTTAACCATTGTTGATAGGCATGGCAAAACAAACAGTTGGCCTTTATCAGGAAACTTTCTTATTTAAATAAACTTTTAATTCCATAACATAGTGAATGCATGTCTTAATAAGCTACAATCAAACGTAAAAAATGATTATTTATGATTGTATTACTTTCACAGATTCTTTATATCTTGAGGCCAAAATCTTTACAGAATATCTGAATGATTTCCAAATGATATTACCGAGTTTAACTAATCCAATGTATTACTTTACTGATTACAACTTTCAGGAGACAACTGGCATTCTGTGACAAACAGCATTCAATAAGTGCATCATTTAAGTTTCCCTACAAGTTGTCGCGGCTGCTGTTTTGTTCCCAGGCAGCTGTCGTTAACGGCTGGTAAAATAGGAAGGCAGGGAAATGACACAGACGCAGTCCCCTAGGTGAACAAACACCTGCTGGAAAACGTGATTCCTCAGGGCAGCTGCTCTGTTTGACATCATGTATGTACATAGCAGAGTCTCTGCTACACCATAGAGTCTGCTGCGACACCAAACTCCTGTTGGGTCTTTGTGGGAAAAACATTGGCTTCTGTCAGCCATTAATATATATGATGTAGATTGTTTGAGTTCTTCTTTATTCTGTTTTGGATTATCATTGGTGTTGACAATAAAACTGTTCATGTCACAGAAGTAGGCATATGCTAGATGCTAAGGGTCAATATTGCACTCGTAATGTTAAAATACTGGCTCCTAACCTTTAAACAAAATCAACACGCAACCCTTCCTCACATCTAGGAGTTCTGAGAAGAGTGTTTCATTGGGATGATTTTAAGAAGAGTATTTACAAGACATTTGCAAAAAACTGAATCCTAGTTAGAAAGCTATTAACATAATTCAGAGTAAAATATTTATTTTGTCTTATGTTGTTGATCATCTAATGAGGACCGACCCACATGCTGGGAACCATTATGTACAGTAATGCTTCTTAAGTAATGCTATTTAAAAGTCTATGGCTTATATTGGGACCTCCAGTTTACTATGTATGCCTTTCTGTACTACTCAACGAAGGCGAAACAAGCTAAAAAACATTGTAGATACTCACTCATACGCACACTGGAATCAACCAGAAACGTCAGTGTGATAAACCCTGCTGGCCTGACTTGTTAAGACAGCAGAGCACAGTGTGTTAATCACCTTTGAATCCAGATTTTTACAACGTTAAACTTTTGTTTTGAGTTGTCAGAGAGGCAGGAAGACACAAATGAGGATGACGTGAGGAGGGGATGCATGAGAGGCTTGTGGAGAGAGCGGGACAGCTGAAGGGGGGATGGGACCAACAGAAATAGACATACTGAGAGATAAATAGTCACTGCCCTCAGCCCCCCCTGCACAGCCCCCCCCCCCTTCCCCTCGTCATATCTCTCAGGTCTCAAAACTCACCGACATGTATCATGCCCAGTTTGTATGTACTGAATGCTAATGTGCATTCGGTGGTGTGTAGATCTGTGCAGGCATGCAAGGAGATACATAATCTATAAGCATTGCAAAGCTTGAGGTGAAGTCATTTACAAGGACGTATCATTTAACGATGATCCTGCTGTTTCCATTGTTAAACTTTTACCTTTATACGTCAGAGTCATTTCTTTTTGCCAGATCATTTTCCTTCAAATCAAACCAACTTACTGTATCTGAGTAACTTGCGATATTTAATCTTTATTTTTGTTTGTTTTTAGCACAGCAGCTTAATCTCTGTTCTTGTCTTTCAGTCCTGCAGTTGAGGATTCAGAACCGAAGGCAAAGTGAAATCAATGCAGACTTAGGTTAGTATATGTGTGTCATTTACATCGTGATTGATTGGTCACCTCTTTTCACTGAGACATGAGTACCTATTGATTAGTAAACATCTTTGTAGGTTTTATTGTATTGACCTGTATTACTCTTATTTGATTTTCTTTTGGAGTCTAAAACATTTTTGGTGAATTATTACATTACTTAAAACCTCTTGTTGTGCCAAAGCATAGAGGTTGATGTCAATGTAACCATACAATGTTAATAACAGGAATACAATCTGAATAACATTTCATTCAGGATGATGAAATATGTGTTTTAGGAATCAGGGGGTTAGGGTATGCTATGGTAAACAGAAATACACATGATATGCAAGATGTACATGATGTTTACATTAATAATAATACAACATGTACGAATTTGTTAAAAATATGTAAGTTAAAAGAATATATGTGGAAAGATAAGTATCATGCATTAATGGAAGATCAGATATGAGCATAAATCCAACATAATTTCAGCCAGATCTCTGCACTCAATGCAATAAACAGTCATACAAAAACAATCTCCAGGACTGTGTAGATATGCTGCTCTCCTGCTTTAGCTCTGGTTCACCTCATATGCTCCTCTACTACACAAGAATCTTCTAAAAATAACAAAAACAACAACTACTGCCTTTCATCATATAACCCCATCTTCTCTGTTTCTATAGGGTTAAAATCTGCCTGCCAACCTAAAAAAGCAGAGAAAGACCAGAGTGAAGCTCTGGTGAGTAGAGTCCAGTTTCTCAGCATTACTTTTTCACAGTATCGATCAAATAATCATGTCGATGCAGTAAGAGTAATCCATGAAATATAGTTTTCCCCCAACACGTGTTTTTTCCATCCCTGTTCATTTGTATGGTTGACTATAGTAGGTACTTCATGCTACAGACATTTTTAGTAACCTGTCTTATTTACACTCGTGAGACAATCATTAACATGACGTTTATCAGTCAGTTTTACCTCTTGAAATAAATAATTTGACCTGTTACAGCGGTGCGTCTTGTTTTTGCACAGGATCCATTCCTTTATAGACTTTGCAAATGTTCTTAGAGAAACTCTGGTGTGAATGTCATTAGGCTACATTGGCAGTGAAGTTCAGTGTTATTTAGATTTATCCTGAATAAAATGCAATGTTGGCCCTGGCTGTTGGTTGACCTGCTGTTTCCTGATGCAGCGTCTTACTGAAGATGGTGCTGCACAGAAGTTGCCCCCTGGTGGTCTCAATGCTGAAACTGCACAAGGTGATGCCCTGCATACAATAATGTAGCTATCTCCTTCCTGCTCTACCCTGTGTCCTCCCAACAAATTGCATAGTGGCATATTTCCCTCTCTCTCACACATTTTATGCTCTACGTTTCCTGTTGTACAGTGTGAGGAAATGAGGCGTGTAAATCTGGCGATAGGCTTGGTGTTTCATCAGCTGTCAGTTTAATAGATATGTGACCTTGTTGTACACTGTAACTCTGCATTTTAAGCAGCCTGCAAACATATCAGTGATTGACAGCGTATGATAAACTCACCACCCATCCAGGGATCAGAGCCGTTGTTTACTGGCATCTCTCTCTGTTCTCCACACCTTTAACCTCCCTTTCAATTTGAAAAGACTATTATTATAACATCAGGCCTTTCAAACTCCCTCATTTCCTTTTCTGCCCTTTTTTAAATGTTGGGTGAGTGTGTGTGTTCACTTCCAAGGGAGAACATCTCCCTGTGGACAGGAGTGTTTACTATTTTCAGATGCTCTGCTGGTTTGAATGTGGATTGACTGCCTGTGGCAACACTGTTGTGCCACACTCACATCACATATGTTCTGAAATCCTGTTGCTTCTCTCTCTCCAAATCCCCTCTTCTCTCTGCCGGTCTCCCATCTGTCCCCCCCATCTCTCCACTTATATGCACCATTTCTCCATGCCCCCGCAGAGAGGACTGTGTGTGGGGCCCAGAGGCAGAAGAAGGCTCGGCATACGCAGGACCTTACTGATAGGATCCGGCGTCCGCCAGGGCCTGTGGATCAACAGCACGAACACACACTGCCCCTGGAGAACCGTGAGTCAACACACATCCTCATGCACAGGCACACACGGACAGTCACACACATTTATTTTTCTCCTCACCCAATCTCCTCTCCTCCTCCTTTGACCTTACCTCCTTTCACTTTTCATTTCCTCAGGCCCTGCCTCTTTCCCTCTGTCCGCTGATGTCTTCGAAGATGACATTTCCTCCTGCCCCTCCTCCTCGCCTACTGAGCATCATGGCGTTCATCAATCAACAGCCTTTTCTTCATTGCCAGGGCTCTCAGGTGACCAATTACTGAGTGACTTCTCAGCTGTGGGCCCACCCCTGATCCACAGCCCTGGACATGCACAGGTGAGGAAACAGCACTGATATTAGGACTCACCAAGGAAGTCTGATACATTAATTCCTACCAATAAACTCTGATCAACACATCACAGTGAATTTCAATCATCTCATATGTCAACTCTGATAATCTGTTATTCTGCCTTCAGTCTGGTTTGTCGTTGCTCCCGGCAACCGAGGGCATTCGACAACCCATGAGTGTAACACTTTGTGAATCAAACGGCATGGCAACACCTGGGAGACCGAATGGGATGTATCTGACCTCTCAGACCACACCCCTGCTGCCAAAGGTAATGTTGGGTTAGTGCATGCTAATGCGCCCAATACAAACCCAGTGCTTTGACTTTCATTTTGTGACTCATTTAAATTTCACAAGGGCCATGTTTGTATGGAATAATTTCATGACTCTTTGAATATCATTATATTGTCAAGAATGCAGTCAAATCAATGTGGTTTCATCACATTTCCATCCAGAAAAAAAACAACATTTATATTTAGTATGTGTTTGTAGGTGCTCGTTATCGTGACATGTAGTCACAGCAGGTATCCAGCACAAACAATAAAAGAGCATTGTGGATGTCTTCATCCTAACAGCATGGTCACTCATCTGTTTTGTCAAACACAATGCTCTGCTGTATGCTGCTCTGCATTCATTACTGTCAATTTTCACTTCTGGGGGAGCTCAGTATTTGCCCTGTAGGTTAACACATTCACACACAAGCAGCATGGCTGCATGTCAGAAACACATATGCTGTCATCTGGAGATTTGCGAGGCATTTGTAAATTTAATGTAAGAGTTTAACCTTGACATGGGGCAAATGCCGTCTGACAACGTGAAAGGACTTGACATTTTCTCTGAGATATTATACATACTGCTCTTGAAATTAGAGATCACAGTAAAGCTGAATTGTGGGCAATGTGTCTCTTTACAGACAGCTCAGCCTCTAAGCCCCACCTGCGCCTCCTCACTGCCCACCTCCCTCAACTTCAACCATCTTCCCCGCCCACGGAAACCGCGGGACACCAAACCCAAAATGAGGAAACTCAAATATCACCAGTACATTCCTCCAGACCAGAGAGGAGGGTCTGGGACTGGAGGTATGGATACAATGCTTTACTACATTTAGTCACACATTCTATCAATTTGTCGAATCACAGCTTGGATCGTGGCACGCTGTTTACATTTTTCCTTTATTTCTAGGAGGAGCCAAACAGAAGAGCCCGGCTCCTAGCCAGTCCTTAGACCCAGCCTACTCCCATCTACTGAAACAGCAGCAGGTCTTCCTCCAGCTGCAAATCCTCCAGAACCAGCAACAACAACAACAACAGCAACACCAACAGCAGCAGCAGCATCAGCAGCAACAGCAGCTCACTGTTGTGCCCAGGTATGCAAACAGACTGCTTTTGATGCAGTGTTAGGAAATCCAGATTGTTAAACCACACAGTTATCCGCTTTGTTAATGAGTTATTAGTCCTCAGACACTTTTGGTGAGTAAATGCTTCTATAAATCCTCCAGTGATCACAATGATCTTGTGAAGTCTTCTGGAGCCATGCCACTGAATCCCCAACCTGTTCCCGCCACAACAAACCACACCCCTACAGACACAAACCCTGCTTCCAAGCCTGAGCTTCTCCCTGCAAATCTCGTTGATCTAACAGTAAGAAAAGCATGAAAGCACTGAACCTTTTATTTTTACAATGTATTACGAAGACATCTCTTAAGTGTCCTTTGCTCCTCCACTTTCTGCTCTTCCCTCTCCTCAGGTGTCAGAGTTACGGCAGCAGCTGCGAAAGCGTGGCCTCCCCGTCTCCGGCACAAAGCCCACTCTGTTGCAGCGTCTCCGCCCGTTCCAGATTCCTCACTCCTGCCTCACCCCTGCTCCCCTCTGCCAGCTGGGTACCAGCCTGGATCCTCTCACCCCTACTGCCCTGCTGCCATCCAGCCAGAGCCCCGGCTCCAGCTCCAGCTCGGGACTAGACTCCCCCAGCAGCAGCCCGAACCAACAGATGTACATCCCGGACAGAGGAGTCCCTAATGGGATTCTCAGTGACGCTCAAAATGGAATTCTGAACAATATGCCGAATGGTTTCTCGAATGCTTCAGTCAGTTTGGCGGGTGAACAATGTCTTTCCAACGCTGTCTTCATGGCTCCTGCCAGCACCGCCTCAGGAACTCCAAGTCCCAGTCTCCCCATGTCGTCGTCCTCGCCCCTGCAGTGTGGGACCCCCTGGAGAAATGAGAACGATCAGCAGCAGCAGCAGCAGCAGGAGCTGAGCGTGGAGCTGGAGATGAGGGAGAGGTTACGGAGCAGGCCTAGGGACCGCACCACCAGCTCTGGCAATGAGGTGTGCAGAGACAGGCTTGGATCATTGCTCTATGATGAGATGCAGAATGACAGCAAGACTGCTTTCCCAGAATCATTCATGTTTTTTATGTATCATCTCTTACAGTCTTGTGGGGGATCCCTTCATCCGTTCCTGCAACAGGATCCTGGATGCTCCAGAGGGAAGCCAGAAACAGACGCACAGACGGAGGTGTTGTTTACACAGGTAAACATGCAAATCAATACACACACATCTTGGATAATCACTTTTCAAGGGCACACTACACAACCTTCAATCTGTAAAACTGGTCAAACATGTGAGCAAATTCCCATCACCCAGCTGTCAACTAATTTACCCCTGCTTTCTAATCAGGTGTTTTGCTGCCAACCGTGTGATGTGATTGGCCAGGATTTTGAGCTGCCAGTGCAGATTACAGCGAGTCCAGTTCAGACCTTGCCCAGTGTTCGCAGCTTGGAGGAAGAACTACAGGAGGCGATCCAGAAAGCACAGGTTAGATTCTGTGGCTGAGCAGGAAGACATCATCAAAAGCTACTTTTACACAGTTTGGAATTAAGTGTTTCTTTTGGCCACAGATGGACCCTCGGCAGTCCATAGATGACATTCTGGATGAGCCCATAGCTTGTGTTGGTAAGTATCCAATATTTAAAAAAGAATACAACTTAAACTCATATTTCTTTTAGTGTCTCATCCTTTTTACTACGTCTGTTACAGGCTCTGTTAATGTCTGTGATCATAAATCCCCCGCTCACTCAGTCCCGGGCCCTTCGCCGCCGCCTCCTCAGACGGATCAGTGCCAGGCCTCCCAGCAGCACAGGGATGACAGCTTCCTGCCCTCACCTCTTTGCTCTTCTCTCTTACTGGAACTCCCTCCATCTCCAGCTGTAATAAATCCCAGCCAGGTGAACCCAGCTCCTCGCCCGCCTCCCATTTGTACTTCCCCTCTGCCGTCCACTGGGAAGTCACGGAAACGACGGGCTCCGACATCATTTGACGCTGCTGACTGGCTTGAAACACTGACGTCTGGCCTCCGCCCTCTTACTCCCCCGACAGCTCCTTTTGTTGAGTCAGACTTCAGTCTAGATTCAGATCTGAATGTCAGTCGAGTGTTGGATCTAATGATAGAGCAGTGGTGAGGAATTCTGTGTGCATAACTGTTTGTATCTACTGTATGTGAGCGATGGTTGTGAATGGGGCAGCATGCATCCCACAGAGGGCACAAGGTTGTGAATAGCCTCCATCATTGAAAGGCTGTCAGAGTCACTGGCTCCACGCAATGTCGAGAGCTGGATTCATTGCAGCGAAGAGATTAAACATGGCTTTGATGGGGCAAAGAGAGCACAAGCACACACATAGACACTGCAGAGTGCTGTTTAAAAACACTTGGGCTCAGCCAGAAATGGCAAACAAGCAACACATCTGTGGACTGACACACTCCACAGCACAATGTTTGCAGTGCTAAACAAAAGAAAACCTGGTGGCATATTCATTTAAACATGCTTCCTGGATGCGCTGGGAGAATGTTGTTTCTGACTTATCTCCAAAACCTGTTGTCGGATTGGGTCGAGTGTGGCCCCTGGTGTTGACTCAGTCATTGAGTCCTAGCCATTCATAAAGCCCATTTAGAGTGTGTAAAAGCCAGACAGAGCACACAGCTTGTGTGTGGCTCCAGACCTTAACCCCGGTGCCAGACACACAGTCGGCATGCAGAGGGAGCAAGCTGGCACAAGCTGCAAACAAGCAGTGTGTGTGTGGTGCTCATGCGTACGTGCAAGTGTGTGTGAAAGCTTATGTGTTGAGTATGTGTGTGTTCAATATGTCTGACTGTGTGTGACTGAGCACACAAGGCTGCTTCTGTTTTGTACGTGTCAACACCCAACTGCTTCCATGTACATTTCAACGCCAAATGCACTTGTAGTTATTTGTTTGCTTATAATTAAGTGTGCCTGTCTGTGTGTGTATTGATTGAACGGTGAGAGGATACATGTGGAAGACAGAGAAAAAAAAAAGCTATGGCTTTCTATGTCCATATTTCAGACCAGACATTTCATTGTAGGCTCATTGCCAGCGGGCAGCAACTCCAGTGTAGTTATCCAGTGTAATCATCAGAACAGCCACATTACCTTGTTCAAGTCACTGTTCTCAAGGAGAGCAATCAGGCAACCACCCCAAAAATAGTGCCCATACAAATGCTCCAATCAGAGGGACCTTTCCTCATCGCTTTGCAAAAACAGGTGGTCATTTTGTTCCCTGATTAACCCCCAACCGTGTCTGGCCCGCTGCACAGTGCTTACCCGGCGACTAGAAAAGCACAATTTAGCACAATTTATAACCCAACCCCAAGGCCACACCTGTTCACTTAGTTTTATTTATTTATTATTAATTCCACACGTATTATTTGACATTGTTAAATCTTTGCTGTATATTTCAATATACAAAAACGACCATTTATATTTAATGAAAATGCACTATAGAATTAGCACAAAATAATATATTTGGAGAAGCTTCTTAATGATGACAGAAATCTTGCTTTTTATCCTGCATGATTTACTGGTCGTGCAGAAACGGGCACATTATTTGTTTGCATAATACACTTTCAGTGAGTTATGATTCCATTCTCAACCCCGCTTAACATCATGAAGAATAAAGTCTGATGGGGGTAAACTGCCATTAACCTCTGCCATACAAGATAAATGTAATTTAGATACAAGATCTCCTCTCCATGAACTTATATTCTGCCCTTAATTGGCTGAATGTTGCATCATTCATTTTGGAGAGCTCTGATTGGCTCAACCACATCTCAAACATTTGTATTGTTTCTTAACTAACTGGACGTCTTTCTGAAAGACCACTTTTTTTTTAAATCCCTAAGCCTGGTCCCCTTCTCAGTCTCCAAAGTATTGTGTTAAAATAAAGGTTAAGTGCTGAGTGCAATATGATTTGTGTAAAGGGCACATAAACTGGCAGATATGAAGTCATCATGTCATGTTTTTTGTATGCAAATGTTTCAGTGTTGTTGCCGGTCTGTTCCTTGTTCTGATGATGAACCGGTGTCTTACTAAGCAAGACAGCCATCGTAAATGATTGGAACAAGATGTCTGTGCATTGGCAAACTTTCAACACACAGCTCTATGTTGAAGGAATTCTTGTACAGCTTTAACTACAGCGACTATGAAAAATGCAGTAGAATGTGGATCGATTGCTATGATAATCATAGCGATCAATAGACATTGCCTGCTGCATGAATAAAAAAAGGAAAGAAAAATGATTGGCAGGAGAGTAAGATGCTACCTCCTGTGACTTCCACTGCTTTACGGCCGACACCAGTGTTTACCTTGTTGCTTATTTAATTTCCAAACACTGGTGCAGAGTTTCCTGGAACACCCCTGAGATAGTTTCACTTGACTTAAACGCAGGTCAAATTCTTCTGTTTCGATCTGTCCTGTTTGAAGCTGGTTAGGACAGATGTCAACTGGAAACACTATTTCAGGTTAAAGAAACTCTGTTGGCAATGTCTGCTGCTATAAATGTGAAAATGTGAAAGAAAGTAAAATGTGTTTGCTTTATTTATTATGTAACTTATTCATGTAAAAGATATCAACCACTGTCCAAAATTGTATTTAAAAGCAATAAGAAAATTAAAGTCTTAATAGATTTTCTATTTTGTTCTTTTCATTTGTTTTCATTGCTGTAACATGAAACAATTAAAGGATAAACACGTGTTTGTTTCATGAAGAAAGAATGACTGATATATTTTCCAGGAAACGTTGCCAAATGATGTCTGATCAAATATTGACATGAAAAAGTAACATTAAATATTAAAGTGCACCACTAGGACTCTTACAAATCCATGAAGCAGTCCCAACATCTACATAGCTTGATGGTTAATCTTCACAATGACACAGGTTTGTAATGTAGATAGAACAATTATGTAGCTATACATACAAATCTGGATTATCTATGAACTCATAGATAATAATGTATCATAAAGAGATCTACTATAAAGGTTGCCCAAGACAGTAAAGGCTATAGATTACATTTCTGAAAGGAAAAGGTGGTTAAACTAAATGTACGTGTGTTGATCATCCACTTGATTCAAGTTAGGATCAAAAAGTCAGATTAGACTAACATGTAAACGAGCCCCTGCCCCTGCACTCCCCAGATATAAAGGATGTAAAGGGGGAAACACAGTTACATTTTTCTAAGAATGTTGTAATCATTCCCATATAACCTGAGGCCAAATGTGAGGCCTTTACTTGTGGCTTGGAGCGGGAGTTCCAATTTAAAAAGCAAATACAAATAAACTATTTTAAAATAAATTATATATATGTTATTCTCAGTCAGACGTTTTTTGACTGTTATCCAACTATAATAATTACAACTATAGTAATTTCGTTTTTTAAATCCGACCTCAGTTGACCCCGTCTTTTGATTGGTTGCTGAAAGGTCATGCTAGCTAAACTTAGCGGCTGTGTCACGTCGAACAGCGATTTGTTTCGTAAAAAATGCGAGGTTGGAAGATAACCGAAGCAGAAATGGATTAAGGGACGATGAACTGTCTGCTGAACTTTACCTGGCGAGGCAACAACCTGCGTGGGCCGTGGAGCACCTGTGTTTCTACGGCCACACCACCATGCGTTGCTGGACTTATCCAAGATGTTGTGTACCTTTTCGACATTGCATGTTTCTTCAGCTGGACACAAACCTTAGTTATTCGTGCCTACATCGGCTAAAGATACCTTCAGATCAGCAGCCTGGCTCTGCTGGCCATCAGCTCCATGAATCTCAAGAAGTGGACAGCTGTGTCAGTCTTCATCTGTAACAGGTGAGTAGCTATTTATTTGAATTGACTATTAAGATGTAAAATAATGTACTTTATGTTATATTTGACCATTGGTCATTATAATGAGCATTGTTGGTGGTTAGTCCAGTTTGACCCGGTTTTGCAGGTTGTCAATCTCAATCTTTCTTGGTATTTAAGGCTTTCTGCTGGATAACATGTGTAGTTTGTTATGGTTTTATTGTTGTCAGCTTAATGTATAATTTTGTGTTTTATAACGCATCCAGAAATCTTTTGAGTGACTGTATGAAAATTTAGTTTTGTACTGGCTGCATATAGTGTTGTGTTGTTGTAGTGCTGTCTGTACAGTAACAGTGTGGTATGCATAATCAAATGGCCCTGAGAAGAAACACACCAGACCTTCTTTTAATGTTAGTAAAAGGTGCATTTGGATAACAACACACATTATCATTGCCATTATGTATTCTTGTACATTAACCAAATTGCTTGGAAATCCATTTAAAAGTTGTTGTGACATTTAACTCAAAACCTGAATCAACATGTCTCTTTGTTTATTGTTATCCACCAAAACAAATCAAGGGAGAGTATGGGAAACTTATTTGGCAATAAACCAGATTCGAAATCTGATCTGATTCTCATTGTGGAGTTAAAGGTACAGTCAGGGAATACCTCTGTACATAATTTAATGTCAATCAATCAATCAATCAATCCAACAGTTGTTTAGATTTTTCTGTCTCGACTAAAGTGGCGATGCAACTGAAGGATCTACATTGCCATCCATAGAGCCTCGGATAAAGAGTAGTTCATATGGCTTTAAGCTTCTAAATGATGTAGCTGTTTTTCTGACTTGTTTTGTAGCTAGTATATTTTATACACCGTGTTTTGCATTTCTCAATATTTTCCTGCATACTGCCTCTACTGTAAACTGCACCTACTAATGAATGGAGAAACTTGCATCTGATGGATGAGTCAGGATGTTTTCCTCTCTGATGTCTTGCCAAACAACTCACTCTGAAATGCACGAAGATGCCTTGAGGAAGTCTCCTTTTTTTCATCAGGCTTCATAGTCTTCTTCAAGACGCTGTTGTTGCAAATGAGCTTTCCCCTATAAAAAAAGCGGGCGGGTTGATTAATTGATTGATTGATCACAGACCAAGATGTGCTGTGATCCCTCTATATTCTAATCAAAGACAGGAATATAAAGGAAACAGACACGTCTTTAGACTGGCGTACAGCTCAGAGAGATCTAAACCAGCCTGTCTGTTGGTTCTACAGCGAGCTAAAGCTGTGTATGTTGACAAGTTTAACCCTGCCATACCCGTCTAGAGACTAGGCACAAAGGGAAGGAATAAGATGAGACAATCTACTCTCTTTGACTCATTCACCCAGGGGTGAGAGTGTGTTTTCACAAGGGTAATACTCCAAAGCTGTGACCAGGTTGTAATGAGGGATTCTCTGTAATGGCCCCTCTAGCCGTTCCACATCACTTCCTCTCCCTTTGCAATAACCGCTTCCTGCGCGATTTCATGGGAATTAAAGGGAGAAAGGTGTGTTTCATATGTAAAGCAGGTAGCTCTTTCTGAGACGTGAGATGGTTTGTGTGGATTCCCTCTCCCTCCATCTCTCCCTCTCTTCTTTGCTCTCTCTTGGGTCGGGGTGGGGGTGCAGTGGTTCTGGGGCTGGTTGAGGTAAGCTTTGATCACTGGCAGAAGGTCGCTATGGTTCGATTTCTGTGGCGCTCCTCTGAGAGGTTTTCTCTGCAATTATAAACCATGTGAGAGAAGGCAGAGGGATGTTAAGTTCTCCGCAGCTACTGTATCCCGTGTGTCAGGTAGCCAACAGCGAACATGAATCACGTTTACAGTATGAGGCAGAAAAAAAGGCATTTGGTACCACAGCAACAACAATGTAAAATCCATTTAATAATCTCTTTACTATGTGAGCTGTGTGGTTGTAAGAGACTCAATAAAGTCTGCGGCCCAGAACCTCTGCTGGCGCCATATCCTCAGCCACATGCATATACCAGAAAGTCCTTACCTAACCTGCAATAATGGATTTCATGGCCACTTAAAAGCATAGGGAAACTGCTAAAAAAATGAATTCTGTTGCAGGTCCTAAAACACGAAACAAGTAAACATTTTTGTACCAGCTCTTCTGGCTCGAAGGCAAACCACTTTTTGAATTGGTTTTTGGTTCTATGCCTAAAACCAATCCTGCCATTAACACACGTGTAAGAGATTTTTACATTTTGTTCTACGACATGGACTTGTAAATACTCCATTGTTGAATTTTGAAGCTTTTACTTGTCAGGGGAATTAAATGTCATCATGCCAAATAGGGCTGCACGATTTGGGGAAATAATCTAATTGCGATTTGTCTGACAGATATTGCGATTCGATTTGCGATATTTATTTTTAAGCGACCCAACGGAGGTTTATTGTAAAATGTGGCCATATCTCCGGCTAGGAAAGTCGTATCAACGTGCTCCCGTCTCTAGCACCCCCGCAGCCCGAGCTACGAGTGAAAGAACTAAACTTACATGAAACTTCCGTTGGGTTGCTTTAAAGTCAAGCTTCAGATTCACCCTGTAATAGATGTAAAACATGTGACGGAGCATTACTAACCTGACTCAGATGGTTTGTTTCACCAAACCATCTAGGAAAGCTCCATTGGAAGCCATTTGGAAAAGTATTTCAAAAATACTTGGCAGGTGATTGGATCAATCTGTCTATCACCTACTATCATGGGCCACTTCTGATTGGTTAACAATGACTGGTACATGTGGAGCACAGCACTTCTGATTGGTGTGGATGACAGACACACAAGAAGAACAAAAAACTTTTTTTTTTTTTTTTTAAAAGAAAAAATAAATAAATCGCAGGCTTTGCGATTTGATAATTGCATCATTTAAAATCGTGATTTAGATTTAAAATCCATTAATCGTTCAGCCGTAATGCCAAACACTATTAAGCCTTAGCTTAGGTTTAGTGACGTTAAACTAATGCTACCGTGATGTAGTTCAATTCAGCGTTTCCGCCAGGGGGGCGTCTTGCCGTCATTTGAAAAAATATTTAAATAATAATAATTCGAGAGAATATCGAGAGTTTTTATCGCTTGAAATGACGAAAAGGAAAAAGGACAAGGACATCCCTCTGTTGGAGGGGCAAAGGAGTCTGGTGGGATTCTTTTCGCCGCCAGCCAAGCGTGTTCCTGTGCCGGAAAGTGTACTGCCGGCGAGCCTTGACGGGGGGGGTGCTAGTGGAGCACGCGCGTGAACTGCGAGCGCCGGGGCCTCGCAGCGGCGAAACTGAGGCTCCGTGGTAAACTGTGGTAAAATGAAGAGCCGTTTAGGAGCCGAAAGAGCCGGCTCTTCTTAGTGAGCCAAGCCAAATGATCCGGCTCACTAAAAAGAGCCGGAATTCCCATCACTAATACGTAAAGAGATAGTATCAAGCCCCGTTGTGTCCAAACGGCGGTACTACAATTTCCGTCGTATCAGTCAGTGACGTCACTGGGCCCAGAAATACTTTTCCCCATTGACTAACATTGGGAAAGAGATGTCTGTAAATCAGCGGATACTTTTTTAAAAACTAAATAAACTACCCAGTATGAACTGTTTTATAGCCCTTATTATAATTATTAGGTCCTTAAAGTTGTAAAATGCACTAAAAGCCGAATCTAGATTTATTTTCTGTCTCCATTCATTCTACTGAGCCGAGAGTGGGAGCTCGGGGGCGGGGCTTAAGGGACGCATGCTCTGTGAGCGCACATACGGGTTCTTCTGCTCTGACAGCTAGGCATGATGGGTACTCTGTGACGTTTCGCTCTCTCAAAAGTTGGGCTATTTGGTCCTCATGCGCCAATGAGCAGCTCTCGTAGGAAAGAACGAGACCCCGCCTCCGACGCTGTATCCAGTTCTT